GAAATGGTTCCATGTTTAATTGGTAGCATATTGGAATACTTAAGCATTCAAAAAGAAAAATTACGATCTTTGCTTCAAATTACGAAAATTTTTGACATCAAAAAAGTTCTCTTCTACAATTTTTTGATGAAAAGGCACACCGGCAATGATGTTTTTTGTCATTAACAGATACTGGTGGATAGCCCTTGTCAATAATAACAATGATATGAACTTACTGAAATGTAGGTAATTTCAACTTGTGTAAGGGCATGTTAAATTAAGAGTATCGTTCCATTTAACTATTTTTAACAAAAAATGGTTTTTAAAATATTGTAAAATTAGGCCGGGGTAACTCAGTGAATTTTTAGTTGGCGCAGCGCTGCGCAAATGGCTTGGTGCGCCAACCCAAAGCACCGGCGCAGTAACTAGGTTTAGTTTTTTTAGTTTTCACATTTATTTTAACTTGTGTGTGTTGAAATACTGACAATCATAATGAATGTTCTGCTAAATATTATCAAATACATTTTATTAGAACACTCGCCTCCTGCGTCGCTTTGCAAACAGTTTTGAAATCCGTTTCCAGCTTCGACTTTGGCACAAAAATCAAATAATTTTTATCAGAAAACGAACAGAATAAGCGAAGTTTTATAATATATTATTTGGAAAACTCGTCACCCTCTGGAGACAGTACAGTTTGTTAAAAAGTTGTGGTCTTAGTTTTGACCTAATTTTTTTCCTGCTTCATTTTTTACTCAAAAATGCTTTGTGTTGAAGAGTTTTACTTAAAAATACTGATAATCTGGAAGTCTGCGCGACAAATTAGCTTTGTAGGAATTTTACAAAAACTTTTTCAGTGTCGAATTCGGGACAAAAACGAAAATAATTTTCTCCAGAAAATTATTAAGATTTTCTAAGGAAAAACCTATTACAAAACTAAAATTTTTTAGTCAAAAGCGCAAAAAACGTTATTTTCTGATGCTTTTCTTCTTTCCTGGCAATCATCAGACAAATCAGATAATTTTATTTCGTTTCGCATCGAGAGTAAATAAGATTATCTTGAAAGAACGACCAGAGCAAAAGTTTTCAAAAAATTATATAGAAAATTCGCCATCCTCATCGCTTTAAAGTTTCTTTAAAATTCTAGGCCTTTCTAGTTTTAGCAATGATTTTATCAAGCGATTCTTTCTACTCAAAAAAGCATTATTTTTTAGTTTTACTTAAAAAATACATTTTCTTAAAGTCATTTTTTAAGACTACTTTATAAGGATTTTTTACTACTTATACTTTTATTTATAAGGATAAGGAAACTGCTAGTCCCTACCGTTGTCGATATACAGCCGCTCTTTACCCTTATTCGCACCCCTGTACTCCTAATGGCTCTAGGAATTTAACTGAAGGTTGGGTACATTTGTACGCGGAGCATAAAATCATGTTGACGAAAATATTGACCAATAAGGCCAATAAGACCGACTTCAGCCCGAATGATTATGACGCGTACAAACAAAATATAGATTTGGCAAAATTTTTCGATATGCGCCGGTGTGATAAACGCATTTATGATGATCTATGATGTGAGCATATTTTCCATTTAAAACGCCAAGGGGATGGAAACTAGAAAACTGCTGTAACATGAATTCGAAATGATTTCATAAATATCTTATCTTGTACCAGTTTATGAATTTTGTTGTTCGAATTTCAGCGTCCACTGGAAGTTCTCATTCAGAACAAAGCAGTTCCAGAAGGAGTTCGACGAGCCGATCGCCCGTCATCCAATTTGGATCTAAAGCAACCAAGCCTGAATGTTCCAAGTTTAATTTTTCAGTTAATAGTTTAATAGGCAGTAAAAATCTACTATATGAAGAACCGCAATTACATATCGCACTTGATGCGCAAGAACTCTCACATTCTGAGCAAGTTACATTAGAACCCACACCTAATGCGGTTCCTAATGAGAAACAATCTCAGGAAGTCATGCCGCCCATGGTACCCCTCGCGTCCAGTTCTTATGCCAGCAGTGGTACAGGAGACAATTTGTTCATTGACGAAGACTATGATAATTAAGAGTGACAATCCGTCGAAAGTGAAAAACAAATTGCGTCTTAACGGCGAAAGTTACTTTTCCGATTATCTTTTTGTACAAAACGCTGACTTTTAGTTGATAGATTAGTAATTTTATTTATTTTCGACATTCATTTACTTTCATGGTATCTTGTACATATATACCAAAGTTTGTTGCTTATAGTTCAGACCTTTCACCCATGTGTGATTTGAGTGTATGTAAAAATAAATGTAATACTTATGTATTTTTCCATCAATACCTGTTCCTACTTCTCGCAGTATTCGCTGTGTTGAATATTGGTTCTAATCAATATATTAATACAGTAATCTGGAATTAGCTACTAATCGGAATATAAAAAATTCAGAGATTTTCATACGGCATAAAACTTGTTGAATTGCTTAATAAAACTCGACATGTGATTTAAAACTTTACTATAGTATAATCAGAGTATACAAGATGGAAATAAATCAAAGTATTCGAAAACGTAGTTAAAGCGAATTTCAACAAAAGTACACACAAAACTGAAAACACAACAAATTTTTAAAAAACGTATAATACTATGAAAAATGTATAATTATCTTTGTTAATATAAATTACTCTATTAATAAAATAAATAGTTATCTATTACTACATTAACGATTTAAGTGATAGTGTTTGAGAATACTTTGTAAAAATTTAAATGCTATTAATCTCAACACAACTAATTTTTTTTAAGAACCCGCAATCGATTTTCCTAGTCCATTTAAGCAAGGTTACCGAAACCTTCATCATTTGCCTACGTGTTTTCATCATATACTTTTACAATATACTGCTAATGGTGAGGCATAATTGATGCCAAAAAGTGGGGGGTTAGACAGATCTCGGATTCCATTTTATATGCGCATGTGTCAAGCTTTTCTGCAACGTTGCCTATGTTCCTAATCTTTTCCTATGTCATAAAACAATATCTGGCATTTTTCTACCTGTGCTCCTACATTGTCCGATATTATGGAATTTTTTATGCTGCTTTAGCTGGAATTATAAACATTTTGCCGTCCGCCGTTCGTGCAGTCGCCATGCCGTTGCTGTTCGCGTTTGATGGTTTCTATTGAGCAGTTTGCAGCTGCCGACGTTGGAATTTGATTAGTTAGATTGACAGGTTGTGCCCATATAATGTTTATGACAGGTTGTGCCCATAAATATGTGTGTTATGTTGCGTGTTGTCATCCTGTTTCTTTTGGGCATTTTTGTAGTCCTTGTGCCGCAAATTATAGAAGTATTATATATGTATGTATATATATAGTTACGGAAAATATTCCTAAATGTGTCTATATATATTTCTGAATTCGAAGTAAAGAAAATTAGTCCTGCCATCTTCCCAAAAACATAAACAAAGCGGTTTGACAAATGTCAGTCAGTCACTCACGTCATATAAAACTCTTTCTCTCATTGGTTAAGTTGCCAACTGCACAAACGACGTCGCCGGCGAAATAAAATTTGGTTAATTACCAACGACATGGAAACGACGAACTGCAAGCAACGTCGGCAACTGCAAACTAGCAACGACGAATGGCACCATAGTGTAGACAGACAATAATAACAAGTGTTAAAACATGGTTAGAACCGTGAGATGCGCTTTATGTGGTGCAAAAACTGGCGTGTCTTCATAGGTGAGCACATTTACACTGTTTAACATACCTTACAAGTGCTAATAATCTTATGATATCTAAATATGTATTAATTTCCAGATGTCCGACAAGTGACTTAACATTTCAGTGAAAATAAGTATGTGGATTTAGAAAAGAAGATCAAGTCGATACTTTCCTAATTTGTTCCAAACATTTTCATTCACATGATTTTATCACATACGAAAGGAACTGTTAAAAATCTTTTGAAACAAAAAAAGTACGGTGTTATTCCAATTAAACCAAGGTGCGCATGTGCACCGCAACTCAAATTAGAGTATTGTCAAACTTGATCTGATTTTCTCCCCTCCCAATGGCTTCAAGTCTTCCCAAGTAAAAAGTAGGAAACGAGCATTGTAAATTATAAATATATTATATTACATTGTAAAAGTATATGGTTTTCATTGATTGGTTACATGAAAATGGTAGGCAGAGCCGAAGCTAGAGTTGGCTGGTATAAACTTGCTACCATGCCAAAAATTACATACAGGGTGAGCTCTTTTCGATGACTAGTACAGGGATCTTGAAAACTTCAGCAGATACAACGAAGGTTAAATGGACAAAGAGTTGTGGTTTTGAATGCTCTACTCGAAACCAATTTTATTTTTCTAAAATTTGACACCTGTCATGAAGATGTCAAAACAACTGATTGATGGCAGATTTTTAAATGACTCCTAGTTCCGTCAATATTAATCTGACAGGAAAACATTACATAGAAAAGTTGTAGAAAATGGCATGATACAGTTCTACAGATTAACTGTCATTTTTGACATATGACACAAACTTGAGTTTTTTAAAAGGCAACCATATTTGACTATGCCCTTATCAAATAGCATTTTATTACGATTTCAGTAATATAACACATGGTTCGATCAATTATCGATTCAAAAATTTGTACTATACTGGGTGTTACACCTAAAATTACAAACTTTCTTACTTTGCCAACTTCCAGTATAACAGCAAGCAATATTAAGTATGGATCTCAAAACTGAGTAAGATTGAATGCCCGCAGTTATTTTTTGATTTTGATATTAGTTTGCCATCTATCGCTAGATGCGGTTCCCGTTGGGACACCCTGTAATATTCTTTACTCCTGAAAAGTGTTTTGGTCTTTTTCATCGACAACAGTGTTTCCATAGGAACAAATAATAACCACATCGTTCAATTATTTGACATTCAAGTTAGATAGAACTTTTAGTTTTATTTTTGAACGAACCTTAAATGGTAGTCGGTATCTTCAAGTGCGGAATCATCTGGACGAATAATTTTCTGGCGTTTGTATTGGAAGAAACGGTCTTATTTTATAGCCACCTCGATCACCGGATCTTTCAGTTTCGGATTTTTTTGTGGGGAGCCGTAAAAACAGTTTATAAAAATAAACATGGCAATTTAAATGAACTTAAAGGACCTGTTAGAACATTTGAAAATATTGATGGTCGGTCAGTTAGATAAACTTATTCAGTTTTAAAGCGCAGCAATGTTTGCATTGATAATAATGGTCGACTTTTTGAAAATATTTTGCAATAAAAATTATAGTTTCTAGGGTTCAATTTTAATTATTATTAGTAAGTTTTGATTTTTATAATAAACACTTTACAAGAGTTGCCGTCTTAATTAAAATAAAGTTATTACAAATTTTAAAGTAGTTGTTAAAATAAATATAAAACCATAGTTATTATGGTTACTATGGAAACAATGCTGTATGCCTTATGCATACTATTTTCCATGGCTAGCTTTGATCAACTACAGGAAAAAACCTAACGGTATGATATCACTAAAATCGTAAAAAAAAATTCTATTTAATAAAGGTATAATAAAATTTGGTTCCCATTTAAAAAAACACAAGTTTATGTCATATGTCAAAAATGACAGTCAATTTGTGAAATGTCCTATGTAATTTAATTTGAAACGCATTTTTCTAAAACTTTTCTATTTAATGATTTCCTGTCAGATTAATACTGACTGAACTAGGAGCAATTTAAACATGTGTCAAATCAGTTTTCTCTTCAAATATCTCTTGACACCTGTCAAGTTTTGAAAAAAGAAAATTAGTTTCGAGTAGAGCATTCAAAACTACAATTCTTTGTCCATTTCACCTTTTTCGCATCTGCTGTAGTGTCCAAGATCCTTGTACTAGTCATCGAAAAAACTCTGTATATTATAATATATTGTTTGTTGAAGTTTCCAAGGAAAACCAATAGTATATAATAATATATAATAGCTCTCAGTTCTCTTATGGAAAACATCTGCACCATCAATAATTAGATAAAGAAGGAGGTGTATTTGCAAGTGTGACTACATTAGTCAAGACATTGATCGAAAAAGTACAAAATTCTAGTTTCAGTCACTTATCACAAATACTATATTGTCTGGGTGATATTAAAAAATGCACTACAACGAATTCTCGATTACTTATAATATGTTAAGTATTTGATTATGATTTTTCTATTCTAATAAAATATAATAACACATTACTCTTTTCAACATAATGCATCGTAGTGAAAACGACTAACACAAGTTAAATAAATAAATATATTTGACAATATAATAATTAAAGTAAAAGGTACATAAATCATTTTATACCGTTAAAATATTCAGGTAATTTATTCAACAATCACTGCAAGTAATTTTTAATTTACAATTTGTTCTTGTGTGTATTAATTGATTTACCATCTGGAGGAACGTTTCATGTCCTTAAATTAATTTAGGAGTCAATTGCGGAGTTTCCATTCTTATAAAAATGACAACTATTCGATATAATAACCTTCAAGAAACGACTTATTAAACAAAGATTGAAACTGCAGTTTCATAGTTTCCAGTGACGATGAAGATTTATTGCTCTTTGTTTGTTACAAGGTCAACTAAGTTGATGTCAATATTAAAAATGAAAATAAACCTGTTATATAGTACTTGATAATTGACTTGCATTTTTACACTTTTCATATAACTCTAAAAATCTTAATCTAAGCATCAAAGTAAGCTGCAAAATAATACAAAAATATACAGAAGAAACACAAATAAGTACAGTGCCATGCCTATAGTATAAGATAAACTTCCTCATATCATATCTTTAAAACGAACTGGGCTTACTGTTAACTTGAGGTAACTACTCGGACTTGCGAAAGATACGACTAAAGTGTACAGTGATAATTACATCATGCCTCACATAACACTCTAGGTATCTTGCATATCAGCCCATATAACGAGATAATGTGTATAGAATGGAATGATAATCTACACTAACGTATTAATAACCGAATCAACGCTTTTAATATTTTTGACGGTTTGACATTATTTTCCCATATAAATGTAAATTGGTTTAGCTAGCCGTAAACCACCATATTCTATATGATGACTTATAGCTAGCTAGAGACGATTATTTCGACGCCTTATTTTAATTACCATGTAAAAAAAGTACATATTTAATTGACTCAGCATTAGTGGATCACAACTATTAATTAACTCCGTCAGGCTTAGTGTTAGTAATAGGAATTGTACAGTAGATGCATAAAATATCAATTACGTGTGGCCCCTTGCAAGATAATTAATAATGTGGAAGATATGCTGTTGTTTAAGGCGCGATTAAAATTATGTAGTTTCAAGTACAAAACGAATTTGGGGTAAACTGTTGATCAAGTGGGATATACCTTGAGCAAAACCTTATTCCTCCAATGCTATGAAATAGTTTAAAGGGACATTTGTTTCCATTCCAAGCGCGTGTGACTGGAAGCAAACTCCAGCAACTAATAGTATAAAATGTTATTATCAATAGATTGGAACTAACTTGGACTCACTTACATAGATATGAAAAGCCACCTGCGAATTAATAGCGTTGATTTGATAAAGCTTAAATGTTTTAACTGTCGTAACTGGAGCTGTGGTGAAGATCTGCCTGGGGCGATGGCGGTGTAGAGAGATTCGAGCTGTTGTTGCTGGCAATTGAATGACGTGGACTACTTTTAACTTCTGCAGACTAAAAGACAGATTATGCAAAACATTAAAAAATGGAACAGATTCATAAACGCGTAGTCTACGTCCATAAATTACGTAGCACGTTTTGGGGTGGGTGGGGGGTAAACATATCTTACGGAAGGAGAAAAGATCTGTTAATCGCGTTCTTAGATGGAAAGTATAGAAGCATTGTGGCCCTTATGGTAAATGCGGTAGTTTGTGAAAGTGTAGTGAAATTTTGAGGACTAATGGGTAGAAAATGGAACAATTTGAATACCAGACTTCAGACTTTAAAGTCGAACTTTAACTAAAAAACGTAAATTTTTTTTTCGTTTAACAATTTCATGTGATTTGAATGAATGTTTGACGGTCTTTTACCTCATTGGTTAATGTTAAGTAAAGTATAAGTGTTTTCAATCAACAATAATTTCAATCAAAAAAGTGATTTCAATCAACAATACATTCAATTAGTATTAATTTTTGCATCCAATCTATCAGTGAGAGTTAAAACAAGTCATCAACAAATCCACTTAGTGACATTCCAAAATGAACTGTTAATTAATTTATTAGTAATAAAAATTGTTCAAATGACTTGATGTTAGTTTGTTAAACCATTTAAAAACACTAGCACGGCCAACCTACATTAAATTTAACTGGAATGAAGACAAATCGTAAACACATTTTTCTTCACTTTTCTTATCTGTCATAATGTGGTCTTGTGCTTCCCGACCTAAGCATGTGGAATAAACAGTAGTTTTCGAATACTGAACTAAGTAGTTAATAATTATCGTTTGATGATTCTTACCTTAAGCATATCATGTAGTGAAGACATGCTTCCTATACTCGCTGGGTCCGGCGAAGGAGACGTATCAGAAGGGCGGGGTAACGCAGGAGGTAATTCTCTGGGTCGTGGAGGTGCCGCTCTTTTAGCCCCATTGTAAACTGGAGGCGCTGGTCGTAAAGGAATCGGATTCGAAATTTCTATGTAGGGACGAGACTTCCCGGAAGTAGGAACTGGTGGTAATGGTGCTTGTTTAGTAGGCTAAAACAATTTGAAATAAACAATCTGTTATTAATCCATAAGACTATAGAAGAACAGGGTGAATTTTTTTCGATGACTAGTACAGGGATCTTGGAAACTGCAGCAGATGCGAAAAAGGTTAAATGAACAAAGAATTTCCGTTTTGAATGCTCTGCTCGAAACTATTTTTCTTTATTCAAAATTTGACAGGTGTCAAGAGATAATTGAAAAAACTAATTTATGACAATTTTTTTAAATAGTTTTTTAAATAACTCCTAGTTCAGTCAACATTAATCTGACAGGAAAACATTAAATAGAAAAGTTTTTGGCAATTGCATTCCAAATAAAATGATGCTGACTTTTTTACAAAGTAACTCTCGTTTTTGACATATGACTTAAACTTTTAACGTTTTAACAAAACATTTAACGGTTTTCTAAATAGAAACCATATTTGATTACGCCTTCATTAAATAGAGCATTTTAGTTAGGTTTTTTAAAATTTGACAGATGTCAGGAGATTCGTGAATAAAAAACTGGTTTATGGCAGATTTGTAAATGACTCCTAGTTCCGTTAATATTAATCTGATACGAAAATATTACATAGAAAAGTTGTAGAAAATTGCACCCCAAAGAAAATCGCATGTGACATTTACACTAATTAACAAAGTAATTTTTGACAGATGATACAAACTTCAGTTTTTTTAAATGGAAACCATATTTTATTATCCCTCTATTGAATAGTGCATTTTATTACAATTTCAGTGATATATCACATCGATACGTTTTTCGAAAATGATGTGTCTGCGAATGATTTTTGCTTTTTAATGCAGTTGATCGAAGTTAAGCCCGTTGGAGATCGTGTCAATTCGTCGGTCGTCGTACCAAGTTAAAAAACGTTTAACTGATTAAGGTTATGGATGGTCGTATGGTTTTTAACCTCACGTTCATTGTTTACATATTATATTTCATGTTTAATTTATTGTAAGTTTTAATAATGAAAACTAAACTCACGACAAAATACTATTAACAAAGTGCTTCTGTTTCCATTATTATGGATTAGGCACAACAGGGAAAGTTTAAAATACACGAAGACTTTGGGTTCCAGACCATATTTCATAACATAAAATAAACGAATATTTCATAAAATAAGTGATTTTTAATTGATTTGGACCGATTCCTAAGTGGTATCCGAGAATCTCATAACCGCAGTCTTGCCGTTATACCGTTTATCAGGAGACTTTTCACTGATATTGTAGGTACTCTCAAAATATGTCTATGCTCCTCCTCAATTTTACTTCCATCTGCTGGGATATCTATTGATTGAATTGAATCAACTTTTTTCCGAAACCTTATCCAGATATGAATGCTGGAATATTGAGAAAAACAAACAAGTAAAATGAAATTTTTGAACATTAATTTCATAATAATATTCAAAACGCACTTAAATTCCACAGAAAATTCCACGTTTTAATTATTATTTATATTAAGTTATATATACGATTTAATGATAATAATTGATTTGGACCGATCCCTGAGTGGTATCCGAGAATCTCCCGCAGTCATCTATACCATTTGAAATTTTCAAGTTTGCCCCTGCCTAGCCGTCAACCTGTCAGCTGACAGTCAGTGTCAAAGTCAAAGTCAAGGTGTCAGCGTGCGTGGCGAAAGTTATTACTTTCCATACGGGATGAAGAAAATATGTAATGGGTAAAAGTGGTGTGGTAAAAACCGTGGCGAAAGTAAATATTTTTATACGAAATTCCAACGCGACGAAAGACGAGCCAAATAACAATTTTAAGTGAAAAAAAAAACCTTGCTAAAGAGTTAATAAAACCATACGTTAAAAAATAAGTCTCAAACACTATGTGAAGATGTTGACATCTGAGAAAATTATATTTTCAACTATAAACTTACCCTAGGTTGTGGTGTAGGAGGTCCATAAGATATTTGCTCGGGAAGTTGGTCGACAAGACTAGTGGTTAAATCAATCAGTCTTTGTTGCTGAATACTATCACCGGGACCTACGTGACTAATATGGTTAAAGTTCGTCGGTGCCGAAATTAACTTAGAACGTCTATCCGTGTTTCTGGAATAAAAACTTTTTAAATAAGTTTAAACTTAATATCAATAAAAAATTATAAAAAATCACAAATGTTATTAGTTTCATATAAAAGAATATTCGTGCGATATAGTGGATAAGTGAAATTTGAACAAAATGTACAATCGTTAAAATACGATTTTCATACTTAATAAAATTTCAATTCAACAGTACTACTTAAATAACAGTTAAAATACATATATACTTACAATCGTGTTGATCTATTGCCTTCTCTCAATGAAAACCGCCGTCTTGGTTTTTGTATCACCCTACCCTCTGTATCTAATGTAACTATGTTTTCTAAATTTAATAGTTCTCCTGAAACAATTCACTAATGCGAGCGGAAATTAAATAATAAACTTTAAACTTACTTTGATGCACATTTGATAAATACAGAAGATGGGTTAATTCGTGCAATATACATAACGATAGACTTCCACTATCGTTTAACGGTTTCGCTCTCTTGATGTTCAAAGTTTGAACCCATTCGCCGGTCGCACAGTTAAAAATGTCGATGTGTGTCTCGCTGTAAACAACTAGGTGACCGTCTCTATAGCCTAAGAAAGAACAATAAGTTAAGCTAAATTTTTGTTTATTTGAGAAACTATATTTAATTTACGTCATTTTTTCCCATCAGATTATTCTGGTTATTCAATTATATAGCGGATTCGAGTGATTATAACAAAGTTTCGCATAAAGTAAGTTGAATTTATAAAGCATACGCAAAGTAGGTTTGGGTAACACTGTGTTGAATTGCGCTTTTGAGTTGTTGCCGCTCTCTTAGTCAATGAGTTTTAATTCATCGGTTAATGCAACCGAACTGAGTTACTGCACCGGTGCGTTGGGTTGGCACACTAAGCCATTTGCACAGCACTGCGCTAACTTGTAAGAATTAATTGAATTATCTTTCCATAGAAACAACAATGGCTTGAAAATATTTGGTCTGCAACCGGAAATTTAGAAGAAACACGAGAACGATTCGATTTCGATTTTGTTCCAAATTCAAAGGTAAAACGGGTTTATCTCTTAGTTTTTTTTTGCTGAAAGACTCAGTTTGCCAGTATTTTACAGTAAAACGTTAGAAAAATTGACCTAAAAGTGAATAAACTAGAATTAAAAAAAATAAAATTATTCACTGCGACGAAGGTGACGAGTTCGACGACTGTTCAATTCGCAAAATATTTTGGGGAGAAATTCAGAAAAAATTATTAGGGTTTCGTCCAAAATTGGAAGCTGCAAAATGTCCTAGACTTTTCTACAGTGATGTTAAGGAGGCGAGTGTTAATAAAATAAATTGTATTTTATAATTTTTCAAAGAAAATACCAGAAGATTGACAGTATTTCAAGTAAAACTATAAAATAATGTGTTTGCTTAAAAAAAATTGATCAAGAAAAATTTTGCTAAAACTGGAGACCTGAAATTGTAAAGAAACATCTTCAGAGCGATGAAGGTGACGAATTTTACAAATAATTTTTTGCAAACTTTTGCTCTGGTCTTTTTTTTTCAAGATAATCTTAATTACTTTCGGTACAAAACTAAATAAAACTATTGGTGCTTTTGTGCCAAATTCGAAGCTGAAAAGGATTTTCTAAAATTCCCTGCAATTATATGAATGAGGCAAATTTTCTAACAAAATTAATTTCAGTAATTTTTGGCTGAAAAGACCAAAACCTGAAAGAAATTGTCAAGAAAGGAGAAAAGCATTAGAAAATCATGTTTTTTGCGCTTTAGATTAAAAACTTTTAGTTTTGCAATCGGTTTTTCAGCAAACCTTAATGCTTTTCGGAAAAAGGCGAGAAATTTATTTTCGTTTTTGTCCCGAATTCGACACTGAAAAAAGTTTTTGTAAAATTCTTACAAGGCTATACATTTATCTTTCGTAATTTTTCGCGTAAGACTTCTAGATTGGCAGTATTTTTAAGTGAAACCACAAAATAGAACGTTTTTGAGTAGAATAAAGGAAGATACAAATTCTGTAAAAACTTAAAACAGTGTCATTGTTTTTTTTAAATGTTTTCTGTTTGTTCGGCTGTGTGGTCCAGTACTGGGACATTTCCTTTTTCTTTCTCTTGCACATTGATTTTGTGTTCTTTTTCCTTGATCTTTTGAAGTATGTCGGTATCTTTTTTCTCTTTTCTTTCGTCTTCCAGTTCGCCTTGGTTCAAGAGTGGTTCAAGTCTGGGGATAACATACCATGTGATTGGGATTTTTAGGTGGTACCCAGAAAGAAGTGTGAATGTTTTTTTAGTGTGGGAGTGAAAATGGTTTGGCCTGTTGCCTGGTTCTTGATGCCCTGGCGTTTTGGGATGGACATTTGTGACCGCAACTTGCGTATGTGAGATTTCAGGTTTTGTCCATGACAAGGACGTTTTGAGTAGTTTTGTATAGTTCGAAATATGGGAGGAGAAACAGCATTCCCTCAGAATGTTGTTTCATTTAGCGCCGGCTTGATGAGCAAGGCCTGGTGCCTCCCACACCATTAACACTGTCCTTATATGCATTAGTTCTTTTCCAAAAAACTTTTATTAATTATATTACTTTTATTATTAAACTTCTATTAAAATTCCTTGACCTAATATGGTTCCGATCTGCGACAGGCATAGTAATTCAGAATACATCAGCTTAGTGAATCATAATTTTTTGTAGCATTTTAGGTTCTGTAAGTTTGATGACCACAATGTAGCTAATCGTCGAAAAACTTCACATGGAAGTTTTCCTCTTGTCGAAGGAGAAGGGGTATTTGTAACGGTTAAAAATGGAATTTAGCTAGCGGTCCACCTGTCTGCTATTATGTTGTTCTCAAATGTATGTAGTTATAATTGTAATAAGCTATTGTTTTCAACCGATTTTCATTTGTAATTTGGATTTAGTAAACACGTTGTCAAGTTAGGTCAACAATATTTCACTGTTCTTTGTGATTCCCTCGATATTAATACCGGTTATAATCAAGGCTGACTCTAAGAAGAGCCCTTTGTGGGCTTGCACTGCTTTTGCCAGGATAATAAGAGAACATGGGAATAAGGAAACATGGTGTCATTGAACGTAAAATTGTTGGAAAATCGGCTTGAGTAGAACTTAATGATGCCTGTGATTAACTTATCCATTTTTACTTGCGATGAGACTGGGCGTTTCTATAAACTTACACCGGAGAGAACTTGAAACGTGAGATTTATCATGATGGTAAGTTCTCATCGGTTAGAGTAATTGTTATAGTAACTAACAACATGTCTGAGACGGTAAAACTTACTTAAAAGAAAATCAGTCAATTTTAGATAGATAGAGAAACGGGTAGGCAACCCATTCCATAGATATAGATACCCCTCCCTCTCACTTCGAATCATGATTAAAGTATTCTTATACTTACTAATGGCAGTAGGAACCGCAGGATACATAATTTCACGATCTCGGGACTTGCGACCATGCTTATCGACATAAGCGGCCAAAGTACCAAAAACTAATAAGTACTCTCTCCTGGGCAATTCGATGACTCTTAAGGCTTCAACGGAACTGCACGTTATAGTTGCGTACAAAGGATTTTCCGGATGAAGCAAAGCTGTAAGTTGAAGATGCGCCAATATAAGATACGATGCATAATTTTATCAGATAAGTTTTGCTCACAGATGAATGATTCTCCACTTTGAATATTGTACACAGTGAAACATGACGGAGATCCTACGCACAGCCTCCCATCAGAAAGAATCTGAAGTGCTTGAACATTAACAGGAATCGAAATTTCGTGCACTCTCTGATGCCTAGTCCTAGTTCTGGTTATTTCATAAATTATTATCACTGAAGAATTCTACAATCAAAAAAATTGTTTGAATTTAATTTAATAATATTTTGACACAAATTTCTAGCTTTAAAGGCCAAAAAGAGAAAAGGAGCTCTACATCGCGAATAAGAAAATCAGTAACTCACTTGCTTCTTAATAGAAATGCACAGACAGAACGTGAGTGGCGCTCTTAAAACAGGCCCCACGGTTAGCACCGAACATCCTTTGCTTTCGGTAACTTTGATCCATTCTGTGTCGTCCCCATCTAAAGCTCTTATAGGCACTAATCTCACTTGGCGTTGCTTGCCGCTAACTACAACCTAAAATAAAAGTCGTTAAAAAATTATCAGCCCTGCCATGCTGATAAAATTCGATGTGAATTGTGTACAACATTTTCAATTTGAAAATGCATCTATTAGTCAAAGTAACTCAGCCTCTGTTTTGAAAGTTTTTCTATTTATTTTAGTACTCAAAGGCAAATGTGCCTGTTGATAAAAAACTTAAATTTTCCACAAAAAGCACCATAATGATTTTAAGGAAAAAATGTCAGAAAAACTTCCACAAAAATATGAAACGTTGGATGCAACACAGCCTTATACAGACTAGTCTTCAATCGGTACTCATTTGAATTGTTAGACCTGCTGTTGTTATTTAAAATAATCGTGCTTACAAATATTATCTCGTATCTTAATATTGAACTAAACTGAACTTCTCAAAAAAGTATCTCATTTAATCGTTAGAGCTTGACTCGTTCCTATCTTCATTTGCACGTTATACGATATTATGTTTTAACTTCCACGCTAGGTTCAAATTCGATTCGTTGATTTATACTGACGTTAAATAGTCAACATTCTGTTACGGACGCAACGAAATCGATAAATCGATGACCGATGACTTCGTTATACAAATTAACGTCTAATACGCCACCGACTCTGAATCACCCTGTATACTTTAAATAAATAGTAGTCCAAAATCCCGTTCAGTGATACATTTTGCAACACTTCGACTAGCGTTAAAAATACTGCGAGTATCAATGGAAACACCTTAAAGGCAAATTTTAGAAAACCATCGGTTCTTTGGATTTACTTTGTTGAGGTGAAATTTCATATATAAAATAGCTTACCAGCAGATGCTCCTCACTTATGTATTCGATTTGGAAAATTTTCTTAGCTTCTCCTATCTTCGCTATCTCGCTCCTATCCAGATCTATGCAATATAAACCTTCCTCGGTTCCTAAAAAACCATCCACATTAACTAGTGAGCGCATAAGCTCATTATGAACGAATTATCACCTAGAACGATCCTATCCGGGTCTATAATGGCAGAACTTAGAGTATTTTTAAGCATTGCCAAGGAATTGTCTATCAACTCCCTAGCTAATAGCACTGTGGTATTGGGCAAATTGTTTCGTTTCATAATCCGATGAAGTTCCGCTAAGGCAACAACCCATTTATTTTTTTCCGCTTCTGAATCTGCTAACATTAGCATTGCATTTCTTGGTCCGGGAGGTTCCATTAACGAGGTGGTTATCTATTCACAAGGAAATTCATTATTTGAACACCAAATTGATTGAACGTTCATTCATCACCTTAAAAATGCAGGGAATGTCCTTCTTATTAGCGTGTATCACATCCGAATCTTTGACACTGCTCACACTAAATTGGGGATCACGCATATCTAAAACTTGCGCGACATGAACACTGGGTAAGGCATTGCGATCGGCTGATATGTCGTACAGGAACAACTTAAAGTCGCACACCACTACAAACTGACGCACCCACCCTAAAAAAAAATACGGAAACAATTCAATATGAAAAAGCCACTTCAGTGTAAAGTATACAGGGTCTTTGGTAAATAGATGCATTCCTTGAAGGGCGTGATACATCTACAAGGTGTTATTGCGGAAACCGCTTGGAATATTTTAATGACCTTTTACAGGCTTAGGCACTTAACAATGTTTTGTGATAAAAACATTGTTTCTAGCTTTTCCAGTGGTGTGCGCACAGGCACGTCTACAGATAATTTTAAATAAAAAAAAATTGCGCCACTGATTTTTCAAATAATAAACATCTTGATAGAAATTTCTGTTCAATTCGGAGGAGAAAAGCTTTCTTGACTTTTTCCTCAATTAAAACAATTTTTAACCGATTAAAACAATTAATTAAATTTAAACAAATTAAAACCGATTTTTGCACAGCGTAATCGAATTTTTATTTATTTAGCTTATTGCGTATACAAACATACATACAAGTAAAAATAAAATGTACAACACAGCACATGTTTACAAAACAGACAAACATTGTATCAAGGTTCGCAGTTTTGCTCAACCAAAGTTTGGTTTTTTCCTTTCCTTTTCAAGCGACCTTTTCTCCTTTAATTTTAATTGTCCTTTAATAAAGTGTTGCTAGATTTATATGTTAATATGGGAGTCCTTTGTCATAGCTGGCTGAGCTGTCAACAACCATTAGCTGTACATGGATGATAGCAACACATGCGATTTAATTACAGACGTCTATCATTTGCTGTCTGACGTCACGTTTTGTGACGTAACGTTGATCAGACTATATTGTTGTTAAGTGCCTAAGCCTGTAAAAGTTTATTAAAATATTCCCAGCGTTTTCGCAATATGGTCTATTAAGCAAATATATCATAAATTACTTGCACTATCACCTTCTGTAACGAATGCATCTACTTACCAAACAGCCTGTATATTGAATACTTTATATTACTACATCAATAAAAACATTACTTTACCTCTTTTCACTCCGCCTTGCTTAGGAACTTTGACGTAACCTTCGTAGGCCGTTCCGATACCCCTAGTTGGATCTATCCCAAGAGGTCGTTTGGCTGTAATGCAATAACAAAGGGAATACAAATTCATTCTAAATTAATTGTAATCTAATTTGCAAATAGACGGCCGATTTACAAATAGAATATGTGATTTTTACGAAACTCCCTACATTTTTAGAGTGAAGGGTGTGAACATGCGAATTTTTAGATAGAACGCATTTGCGTCGAAATAAAATTGTATCGACATAAAATTGTATCGAAAGTAAATATTGAATTCACGCGGAACTTTAAAACCTTTGCTCTACTCTTGTTCTCTTAACACCGGAATATTCTTTCGTCTTATGGTGGGTTTATAAACTAGAATAAGGAATAACGCTTAACGATTAAGGCGAATCTTAAAAGTTCGTTGTGCATCAGTCCATAGAGGTGTTTATAAACCGAATGGTGCCTAACGCTTAAGAAATAAGGCTTAAGAAAGTTGCCAACTTTTAACTTATGCGTCATTCTAATGAGGCATGCCCAGTTTGTAAGATAAATGATATTCCAATATCTCACGTGACCGCCAAACATTGTATTTACATTTTTTTTGTGAGGTGAGAAAACGAAATTATTAATCCAAAAAAAAAAACTACCACTTCCCCAGGGGATAAATCCATTTTAATGTACAATATTTATGTGAAACAAGCTTTTATTGGTATGTTACCACGATAATGTTGACATAAACAGCCACAACCTATTGTTTCTTAAGCCTATGCTTCCATTTGATTGGCTGTACATAAAATAATATTGTTCCTTATTCTGCTTTATAAACACTCCATTAGGCGTTATTCCTATGCCTTAAGCCTTATCCTCGTGTATAAACCCACCATTACTTTCAAAACCACTCAAATGTTGTCCATGTTCAGACCAAAATTCGCGAAGCTCGCAAAAATCAGGATTTAGTGTCATTTTAATGCAATTATGCGAGTGTTTAGATTTGAGAGTTTTCTATCGAATTGAGAGTTTTTGAGTTCTTACTGGATTTAGTTAAAAAGTTATATTTTTTTATCTACACGGCTTCAGTGGCGTAAAACTGTCCAAGTTCAGACCAAAATCCGCAAAGCTAGCAAAAATCAGAATTTAGTGTCCTGTTAATGCAATTTTGCGAGTGCATAAACTCGAGTGTCTTCTATCGAATTTAGAGTTTTTCAATTTTTACTGGACTTAGTTAAGAAATTTGAATTGTTTTGACTGAAAGATTGCAGATTACCGTTTCAGAATTCAACTTTTTATTTTTCCATTTAAAACGTAGCTCGCTTAAGTTTGTACGCCTTTAACCACTCAATCAAAATCAATAACGTTTTAAGAACAAAGTCTCAGTGCTAAAATGACGTCAAAGTAGTCCAGTTTTCGCCTGTAAAGAATGCATTGAGCAATGGTTTCGTCCTAACTTATCTGGTCACACACGCTAGACAACCTTTTTCTTCTTTTGGCCATCAATATAGCCGATTTACCACCCATTATGGCATTCGGCGCTCGATTTAACCAATCGTTTACAGACTCCCGCTATACTGTTACATAACAGTAAAATTGGTTTTCATTAAAATGTAACCTTTGCTTTAAATATACGCCTATCGGCGGCCACCGAACGCACAAATACTGTAAGAAGTCCTAAGAGTTGAAAATAAAAAGCTTTCTTTAAAATCAAGAAACCTTAAAAAAGGCAGTTAATTTATATGAGTAAAAAGTGACCGAAAGCCGTATTTCCATAAGAAACACCATTAAGAATGAACACATAAATGTTTCTGTAAAAAATCACTGTTTATTACTCTGTGGAGCGACAATATTGTCTCTGGGTGATGCTGGACTGTATAGCACAATTCTCCTTTTTATCTAATTAGCTGTGATTTTTAACAAGTTATAACAGGAAATTTCTAATTAAAAATTAAATTATATTGACCGGCAAAGTTGCGTCTAACTATTCCGGATGCGATCGAAAATTAGCTGATGACCCCTTTAAATGGGCGCCCATCTTCGTCTAATTTTATTTATCTTGTCTGACTGTGACCTCTTATTACTCTTTGGACAAACACCAAGCTGATTTTTATAGACATTAGGCTACCAGAAGACCCAATTTATGGGTTTTTCGCACTACAACTATAAAGCAAAACAATGCAATACAAGTTAAAAGACACCGATATTCAAACTGCCCTTCTTTTCTTTATTGCGGTCCACTCAAAATGCGATAGCTAATAAACATTTCAATTATTTCCATCACAAAATAAATGTAACCAAACCTGCCCCGGTCAGTGCTACTAAATTTTTTTTGTCCGTTGTTGAGAGTAAATAATACAAGTAATGTAAGATTTACTTTACATTTAATGCAATTTACGAGGTTCGCCAACCTCAGGCACCCCCAGGACCGGTTTCGAGCGTATGAGCTCTCATCAGCTGAGTTACAGTCACTATCTTACATGATTTCTTGCTCGGATGTTGCCGACGAAATTATTGTCTTTAATACAAGTAACGTTTGTTTACTTCTGTACTATTATTTAAGGAGTCGCTGCTCAGACGCTCTTTTGTGTTTCCGCTTTGTTAATGAATCAAAATAGAAAAATTAACTGGTGACTTAAACATGGTTCGTTTGGTACCGGGGTTAGATCCTGGAAGATTATTGAAGAGCAAATTTGTGCACACTTACTTTGGTCAGGTGGAACCGGACAAACTGGAGGCACATGAGGACAACACGACGTATGGCAGGTAAACCCGCAAATTTCACAAACCATTCCTTGACGCATCAAGCCTACCATTAGCGACGTACAGTGGCTACATTTCGTTGGACTGGAAAACGTTCGTACTAAAAATTGATGAGCCTTGTGCTTCATTGGGGAATGGGTTTCGTGGTGCTACAAAAGCAGTAGAATAAATTAGCATTAACCAGCAATTGAAAATAATGCGAACTTACCATACTAACTTCGGAAAGATTGCTTTTCGAGCTTACTATACTCGGTGCTCTATTATCCTCTATGTCTCCATCTTCCGATTCCAACGAACCACCTGGAAATAGCTGCGCCTGAGGTGGTACGTTGTCATACATATTCTGCACTGATGAAGAGTTAGTTTCCTTCAGAAACTGTTCTAAGTAGGACATCTGCGATGATGGCCTCTCCAAAACTAAGAAAACGGGGAAAGTCCTATAAGTTTACTCGCTTTAAAGAAGTCAAATCTTTCATGTTAAATTCAAAGTTATATTCTTAGATTATATACAATATACTCAGAGATTATCACATGTCTACGTGAACCCCCAATATATAAATAGTTTAAATCAGTATTAAACAGCAAACCATATACTAAACTGTACGGTTCACTTCGATCAATCAGGCTTAGTCTCAGTCTGAGCGAAAATCTAACTTATACAACTGAAAATGTTAACATGAAAGACGAAAATTAATTGTCAATGACATATGAGATGGGACAATATTAATTTCGTATTAAATATGATGCATTAAAACCACGGAACACCACAAGAACTATTAACAAAAACCAAGACAAAACAATGCCAACTTTAATCAAATTATGCAATGTGGAGGCTACTTCTAGTTTATAAAATTGCTACTAAAATAGACAAGTGGAATTATCTCATCTCCCAGAATAAATAAGAAATCGAAATTGTTATTTTACAGAAAATATTGATGTTGAAGGAACCATGAGTTGATATTTTATTGCACAATTTTTTATATAATTCGAGGTTTATCATTGAACCTTAAGACTGTACTGTAACAGTTATTTATGTAACTAGTAGGATATGAATATTATTAACGCAGACAAGTGAAAATTTACGTTATTTAAAATACACGAGTGCATAATAAAATATACTACGTGTTACGCACATATTTTATCTAAAACTGCACCCATTAGTGATGACTACTTGAGCCAAAGTAATTATTTTATATGTTATATATGTTGAGACATAAATAGCCACTTATCCAAAATTTTTCTTTTTCTTTGTAGGATAAATACTTATCGGACCCCCGAAAAAAACATACAGAGTGTTAAGTTAAGTTAACATTCAGAATAAGAAAGTTTGAAACAAATTCCGGTGCAACCAGAAGTCGCATAATGTGGCTGTTATTTCATCTAAAAAGAGCGCCTCCGAAAATCTCATTATCCAAATTTGCAGGATTCAAATTGCATTAGTTCCCGAAATATTCTAATGGACGCTGGCCGTGAGACCTGTATATCTATTGTAGATAAACGCCTGTACATGTTTACCTATTTGTAGCAAAGTTTAAATTTGCTTTGCAAAATTTCATTTTTTTTTTCATTTTTCATCAATAATTTTTGACTCCAATTCAAACTCTTCTTCCACTTGCATATTTAGGTTATCCCAATTCCGAATAGGTCTAATTGAAGTTATTATATTTACATTTTTGTTAACTGTATAAATCAATTAATGTTTGCCGACTCCGAATGATCAACTTACTAGAAAATTCAACCAAACTTGTGGGATAACTTATGTTCAAAAAAAAATCGGCTCCACAAGGCGATTGCAAAAATAGCACCCAGCTCAACTATGCTAAAATGTATCGGAGATGTTTAAAAATACAGATCCAACCGGAATTGAAAACATTGACGCTGAGAAGCCACATGCTTTTTAGTCCCAGTGTTCGTACTTTAAGTTTTATTTTCACGAACTTGCTATACAAGGCGCAATTCCGTTAAAGGCGTTTGCTTCACGACCTTGTTAATGCAAATCCACAATACATAGCTGCAAAAAATATCTAGACAAAATACAATATATTAGCACTCCAAGCAGTAACAAGGGTTCAATTAAAGCTAAAAAAGGACCAGATCAATATTATGAAAAATAGACCGGATACATTTAACGTTAATAGCAACCATTTGCATATAATAAATTACATTCATTCATTCACTTCGAAATTTAGTTATGCATTATTCCGCTCTATTGATCAGTCAGAATAATTTAAATAAATTATTACATTTTCTAACAAATTCTATTTTGCATAATATCGGCAATGTCCGATGTAAAAAGTTACTTTAATTAGCAAAAACGTAGCGTAGTTAACTAACCCTTAGGTACGTGACGTTTGATGAATGACGAAAGTCCAACACTTGCTGCATGAAATTTCACAAACGTTTAATTTTTAGGGGAAAAAACGAGTCAAATCAACTATTGCCCTTGGCATTAGAATTTTAACAAATGCGTTTGAAATATCGTTTTCAGCAGCATCCAAATCACAATCGAAAATATCCTCCATTAGAAACTACTATTAAGAAATTTAAAAATGCGCAAAGCAAAAGAAAGCACATGTATTTATAAATAGTAAGATAGTGCAAGTTTCGACGTTGGCAGTAACCGGTCTTGGGGGTGCCTGAGGATGGCCTATCCCGACTCTTGCGATATCTTACATGATTTCTTGCTCGGATGTTTACGACGAAATTCTCGTCTCTATAAATAGTATAAAAACATTAAAATGAGACTTCGAACAATTGAAACGTTTCCCCAAAGAGCAATAGTGGATTAGCAAGTTTCCACTCTGCTTATTTAAATGAAACCATATAAGCATTTGCAAAGTTTCGTTTATTTTCAGTTCAATCAAACTTAACAGTAATGTTTTCAAGAAAAATTGAAAAACAAAAATAAATCCAAATAATTGCAATTTAAAAATCTATTTAAAACCAAAGATGTTATGAATGAAGAAGTGTGATGCAAGTGTAATAATGTCTGGTATAATTGTAATAGTTTGTTTTATATATGTATACACTTCTCTAGCCTTTCAGCACAAACTATTTGAAATTGAGCTTAAAAACCCGTAATAAATAACATAAATGTTCCCGGAATAAGTTCGAAACGAAAATTAACATAATGTTACCTATATTCTTAATAATGTCCTTATGGATGTTGAATTTACCCATTTTGACAGGTGTTCCCTTACAAACATCACACCTGTGTAAATGCAGACACAAAGCAGATTAACAGGCAATTCGTAAATAAGCCTGAATTTATCGTAAACAGGCGATCTATGGCCATAAATGAAAAAGCTCGTGTTCACTCAGTTCAGTGGAATATTACATGAAATGATTGAAAAACAATCAATTGAATGAAGTGGAACAGTAGCTAGGCCACCTCCATCACCTGATCTAAACAATCGAAACTTTTGGAACCCAATGAAATCCGTTCCTGAATGTCTAAAACTTACAATTTATAGTGACGCGACTGTTAAAAGCTGAATAAATAAGCTCATCAATAATGTAATATTTTATTTCGTCTCTACACACTATTTAAAACCTGAGCTTTGCATGTTCAGTCATAGCGAAGAACTTTCAATAATAACTAAGACTCGAAAAGCATTCAATCAGAAATACGTGTTCATGTGTATTGAACTGACATATTTCTAAATCCAATACATATCCAGGGTGATTCAAAATTGGCGTCACTCCTTTTGAGGGGCTATAAGGGCTCACTTAGAGAGTACGAGAAAAATATAGAATATTTTTTTCGAAAATTTCTCGAAGATATTAAGAGTTGAAGATCGAATTTCAGCTTTGTTATTAAGTATTATTCTGAAATGATCCCATGTTTGGTTGGTAGACTATTGGAATACCTAATCGTTTGCAAAGAAAAATTACGACCTTTGCTTCAAACTACAAAAAAACTTATATTAAAAAAGTACTATTCTACAATTTTTTGATGAAAAGTCAGCAGCAATGATGTTTTTTGTCATTAACATATAGTTACAGGTACACAGCCTTTGTCAATAATAACAAGCATTTGTCAAACTGCGACTCACGTTGAAGCTCCTTTCATAAAATGTACACAAACATTGAATTTGCGAATATGCGACTAGTTATGGGGAAATGCCACAGTAACATCGCAGAAGCTGTAAGAACTCACACCAACAAAGGACTAGAGATAGTGGAGATTGACTCCAGGAAGATAGTGGACAACAATAAGTGTTCAGGGTCCAGACACAGAGGAACAAGTATTGGACATAATTGCAGCAGAGCCTGCCAGGGGTACTCAGAGCGCAACTGACACTTGACTGAGGAAGGGCTACATTCCTATCACGTATGTAAGATAAACGGAGCACAAGGACACATTAAACCAATGGATTACTGAACACCGGTACAAATTGATCAGGAGTTAATTAGCCGAATACGAGAAGCTACTCAAAATGTGAGCCCAGACTGCTGCCAGGAATGCACGACAGTTATTGGGATATAAACATATTTGGAGTTAAACGAACAGAACTTCGAACATCTCCTGTGATTTAACAACTTAATTATATTTTAGTTGATCCATATTGATACATAACCATTAACAGCACGGACGGCAAGCAAAGTGCACAGAACAACCCTGGACAAAGTTTCTTCTTTTGTCCTTTCTTTGCTTTCTGTTTAGCCATAGTTACTACAATTTGTAATAATTAAGAAGCAACAGGTATTTACGTAATAATAACTAGGCAGATTCCCCTGAAAAACATTGTTGCCATCTTTCTGATCTAGTTTTTTGCAAATATCTCAGTTGTTCAGACGAATAACTATTTTTGCTGTACTCCCAAAACCCCCACATACAACACCTCCAGATGCCACTCCAATTTTGAATCACCCTGTAGTTTGGATATCAGAAATTTGACTCTTCAGCTCGACAGTCTACAGAAACTTTTAATTTTGTTAACGTTGAGATCAACCGGTTAACATCAAGTTTACTTGAAATGCGTTGTAAATGTCAATATCATAGCTGATACTTTATTTTTTTGCTCGATATTGACGTATTAAATTTAAGTCAAACTATTTTAAAATAAATTATGCTGGGCATAACCCAGCATAATTAACGTATAACGTTAAGTTAATAAACGTATAACGTGAAGTCCTGAGAAATATACCAAATTTCGCTCTTCCACATAAAATAAAGGAGTTCATAAAGAGAATACATATAATTTATGTATAGATATATACATATATATTTGTGTTCTTGTTCGACAAGTTTTATTGTAACTCAAACATATCTCAAAATTTACATGTAAATGCATACATATTTTTAAAATATGTAATCCTTAATTGAGGTCTACTTTTGTGCAACTTGCAGTCCTTATGATCAGAATTATAATATCTTTGGCAGAGATGCCGTTTTCTTCTGCCCATATGATGCAGGTATTGAAACAATTAAATGCTTTATCTGGTTTAACTTTTACAGTTGTAGTAATTGACGCCTCCAAACAAGGCTTTCTTCTTCTTCTTGTACTGCTTCACATATTTCTTCATCTGTCATAATTTGCTGTTTCGTCGAATCCCTTTAAACAAGAATTTAAATTTTCTTCACTTGTCTCCAATCCTCTTTCTGATAGATTTTGCAACCCATCGGCAATAGGTAGATTATCTTCAGGATCCCATTCTTATGTTTCTGATACAGCATTTATGATAGGCCATAACTTTTTCCCTGAAGATCAAGCGAGAGAGAACACAACATCCTTGAAATTCAATTCTTTAAGGCTCTGCGAGATGTCACCATCCTGAGATATAATATGGATCAGCAATTTATTTTTATACGAGGACTACTTTTTGGATAACATTTTGTTCCAAGATGGTTTGGGTATTCCCATCACTTGACTTAAGTTATTGTTCATTTGGGTGACTTGGAGCATTGTCAACTAGGAGTAGAGCTTTTATGAGCAAGTTGTATCTTTTCATAAACTCCTTGACTTCTGGGACAGAGTATTTATGAAACAATTCGCTAAATACGTCTCTCGTGACCCAACTTTTAAAATTTAACAAATATATAAATTGTAACAAATCCAATTTGTGCGTTCCAGTAGCGATTGAACACGGCATGAATGTGATTCTATCTTTACCCACTTTACGTCTTGGTGCGCTCGCTTTTTTAGAGCATACGAATGTTTTATTCGGCAACAATATTGTCTCTAGAACACAGACCACTCTAGTTTGCATTATAGATTTGGTCTGGAAGAAGATCCATTTCCTTTACGTTGTCTTTAAAATGCTGGATAAATGGCTCTACCGCAGATTCGATGCTTGATAATGTTTCACACGATATGGTTAACAGACGGATGCCAAACCGCTTTTTGAGTTTATCCAGCCATCCATCGCTGGCACAAAAATAATCTTTTTGGTATTAAAAAAAAATTGGTTTTATTTTGGTGGGTGCCGTAAAATTCTTGGACATATCGGTCTATTGAAGTGCCGGATTAGTAAGATGTACTTGATACGGCAAACTGTTTGCGCCTCGAGCTGAGTCAAATTCAGTGGCAAAATCCCATGAAGTTTAGAGCAGAAAACGTCGCACTTTAACCACTTTTGACAGTTGTTCTTATTTTCGTGCTTCCTCTTATTAATTAACAGTGGTAATTGTTGATTATTAGGCTTTTACAAAAAACTGTATCATCTTTGAGTAACATTGTGCATTATTTCTTGGACACGGCACATTTTCACAGATTGGTTAACACGTAAAACCATCGATATTGATGCGACAATAATCCTCAAGAAAAGCATCAAAAAACACTTCATTCTCTAAAAGAAGCGGTTTAGAAAGCCCTTGAAACGAATGGAATGAGCGGTCTTTACTTCTGAGAAAATGCGCGGTGTTGAGCAGTAATCACTAACTCAAAACGGTACGAAGGGTGTTCGTAGTCGGGAAGAATTCAACCAGGGAGGGACAAGACATTTGATTCTTGCAAGATGGTGCCACTTATTATACCGCAAACAACACAATAGAACGACTACGTCGACTTTTTCTGAATAGGATTTTTTTAAACACAGACTCTTAGCTGACCTCCCGGTAGCCCGGATTTAACCTCAATCGACTTACAGCTGCTTTGCTAGTTGCTGTGTTGAAACAGAATATCACCCGTGAGATTTGTGGTATCACACCGCCTGATGAGACCTGCTATGTCATTCATCAAGTGTTGGTGAAATTTTTAATTACAAATTTTATAAAGTAAAGATTCTATTTTCAATTAAATTATTATTATTCATCGTTCAACAGCTATCGCAATTGGAGTATTCGGCAATCCAGTTTAATTTATCGGAGTTAAGCGGAATCTCTGCTTTAATACTGATATGCTTAATCGGTTTGGTTTCCTTTCGTCCATTAATATTTAAAAAGATAACGACCTAACGCGCATAAAGGTGATTGGAATTGAATAAAAACCGATCTGTAAGAACATAGGTAACTTCTAAAAGAAGAAAATTGTAACATATAAAATAAACTATTCGTGTAATAGTGGATTCGTTTAGCGTTATAAAAGTCTAAAAATATGTCCTACTCTCTCACAACTCAAAAATACGTACACAGCTTGACTCGCTTTACGTTAGTTTCTCAAAAATACATTCCCGAACGAACAAGGTAACTAAATAGGCAATAACGAAACCCTCAACATGTATTTGGTACAATATGGACAAAGTGAAATAGAACTGAAAATTTATCAATCTGCCCGTTCCAGTTAACAACTCGCCCAGGACTGTATTCACCAAAAAAATGCGATTGAAAGCAAGGCTTAATTTTTACTTTGATTTCTTGTTAAGGAGGGTTGCATTTGTCAACCATAGAACCGCATGTAGATCAACATAATCCCCCAGAAGCACGAGGTGATACCGATGACCAAAGGTAGTTGCTTGAACCACGAACCGACTGTGTGTACATACATAATAAAATCAATTACCACTAAAGCCGCGTCAGAGTGCTAATATACACCGGGGTTGATTAATATTTGCCTCTCATGAAGTGGACGCAACTTTGAAGTCTAGAAATATCACTATTAAACAATTCAGAACAATATTTCATTTGCATAATTTCTAAAATCGCACCGAAAATTCTTTATATTAATATTTACAGAGACAATTAATAATCAGGCATGTGCATAAAAATACAAACCATTTCATTCACAATTGAACTTCTATTTACTGACAAATTCCCAATAGCTCCATAAGCGTGCGATTAACTAAGCTTAGAGTGCTTCAAATTAAATTGAACGGCTTTAAATTACCAGTGCTCATTGAAAAGCTCAAGCAAAATGTTTAAATCTTATATACATACATATCTTCTAAAATTCTGTTAAAAACTGCATTTTATAATAAAAAAATTAAGGTTATTTTGATAAGATATATGCTAATAACATCAAGCAACAAATATATCAACCCCAGTGTGTAATCCCTTTAAAATGTTTGATTTTATGTGTAGTTTGTACGAAAATAAAAAAAATGTAAAAAATAAAACAAAATCAAACCTTTTAAATTCTATAAGGACAAAATAATAAAAACAGTAGAGCAAAAAGTAATTAATAACTTACATCCTTCAGAGTCTAACCGGTTCTGCAAATCCTTGATTTGCTTCTCTTTCCGCTTCAAATCGAGTGCTAAACTATCATTTTGTTGTCGATATTCGCGAAGATCCCTGAAAGAGCGATTCATATGTAAAGTATTTCAAATATTTTATTGCCACAGTGTTTAAACTACAATTACAAACAACACACACATACTTTTGAGCGGCCAGAAGCGCTTCCCGAGTTTTGCTCAGATCTTCACTTATCGCCTGTTTAGCTTGAATTTCGCTTTGAAGGGAACTTTGCAGATTAAGTAGCTCCATTTTGTCCAGTTTTTGGGAACGCCTATTCCGCCAGTTTTTGTCTGAACCACCGACACTATTTGACACACCTAAAAAGAATAGATTTTGTAGCATTCATTCATTCAATACAGACATAGATGGTGGGGCAAAGAAAAGTTTTCAGTGACGAATCCACTGTACAATATTTTCTATTTCACCGAGACAAGTCTAAAATCTGAATTCACTTTGATAATAACTTAATAACATTTTATAATTCTGTAAATTTATAAATAAAATATTCCAAAAACATGTTAGTTCCATCCAGAAGGGCTTGTGGCTTACGATACGTCGCACACGGGAATAAAGAATATAAAACTGATGGAAAATAAACAAATCAAGTATGCGGTTTCTAAAAATACTCATCAATGAAAAGTCGACCCAATACTTGTGTACTCTGCGTTGTCAAGCACTTATCTGGATTATTTCCATTTCACGTCAAAGATTGGACTTATCGAGAGAACTCGAGCAAATCTTAAATAAATTCTAAAATCATCATTCTAATATCAGCAGGTTGTATTTTATAAACAACGGCCCAAGATGCCCCCAAAGAAAGAAGTCTATGGGGTGTTTAATCCGGTGATCTTGGAGGCCATTCAATTGGTCCCCTACTGCCAATTGATCTATCCGGGAATATCTTATCAATATTAGGGAGACTCCGAAAATAGACTTCATTATTGTTTACAGGGAAATATACAACATACAAATTTTGAACAACTTAAGATAATGCGTAAGTAGATCCCATGGGTTTTATTGTAAAATAATCACTAAATCTGAAATTGATTGTTTAAACTAGATTTTCTTCCTGTTATTCAACGATTTTAACAGTGTAACCTACACTTCTAATCATTTCTATTACAAGGAGACCAAATACAATCGTTTTTGTGTAACCTGAAAACCAAGATCTGATTGCAGGCAAGTCTGCTTGTTTCTACAACTTTGAAACGCGATTATTCGGAAACCTCTGGACAAAACGCTTGAAACAAGGAGGCTAAAAATATAATTCAAAGTGTCCCCCTAACAAATAAAATTCAGGGTTATTCGGATTTTTCAACTGCAAGAAATATTTTAAGGGTGGGAAGTTTTCAAATTGACACCCGGTATAGTCGTTCAGCAGAGGTAAACGACAAATTTTATAGCATTACAAGGCGACACATTATAATGTATTTCTTTCTCGAATTACGTATTAAGTATACTTAGATATTTAAAAATTCGGGTGTACAAAATTGCAAAAAATTGTAAGCAATCCTCTCTGAAATATTTGGCTGTTGCGGAATGGAATTTTTGACTAATCCTGTAGAATGCAGATAACTGTTTATGCTTCAAAATATTAAATGTTTACTAATTATATGATCCAATTTAATTTAATACGTTTTTAAGAAATATCTGATTAAAAAACAATTTCGATTAGAAATTAATATCAAGTATCAGATCAAAATTCTGGATTCTCAACTGAAAAGTTTCGATCGCGGTTGTTTCAGTTGTTACATGAAAACAAAAAACCGTACTGAAAAAATTATTTTTTTTTTCGAAATTCTGATAGATTTCCGATTCGAAATTCCGATAGACCACGGCTTCAAAGCCCGGAAAACATTCCTAAATGTATATTGTAAAAGTTTTTCGGAATTTTGTTTTGCTTGGTACCTCCTGAGTCTTCCACTAATGACGTTTCATATATTTTGATTTGGATTAAAGCTTTTGTCAAATTCTCGCACTAAAAAGTTGAAACACAAAAAACTTCATTAAATTAATCTGCACTGTGCAAACTGCAAACTATTGCCAAGCCAGTCAAGCATTATTTCCTCGGTTCCGAACCATTTTTGGCTTAATGTACTACCATTTTACCTGCATGTTTAAGGTAGTCTAACTCCTCAGTCATTTTGGTGGCCAGAGCTTGCAGGTATGCGCGTGCATCTTTCTCATCGCTAACCCACTGAATGATTTCTGATAATTGAGATTCCCATTGACCCAGAGCATCTTGTTTCGTCCGTAATGTTTCGTACTCAGATTCCAAATTTGCTCGTTCAGATTGTAATCGGTTCATTGATTCAGTTAGCTAAAAAGGAAAAGTAAACATACAAATAATTAGCACAACAAATTAATATCACTTATCTCATAATTAGCCATTTGAAAGAAATGAACTTCCGAAGTAAGCAAGACCCCAAGTTATTAATGCGTTATTATTATAGGACAATTATAAAAAAGCATATGAAGCATATACATTTATAGAAAATGGATGAAAAGCAAAAAAATAATAAACAACTCACAAACTGAACATTAGAGGAAAGCTTTTTATTTTCTTCTGACAATGTCTGCTTATCTCTCTCATGTCTTCGGTTTAATTCTGCCAACGCTTGTTCGGTATCTGTTATGGCTTCAAGCTTAGACTTTTCCCACTTTTCTTTTAATGATTGTAGCTGTACCAAATAACCAAAAAAATAATAAAAATGAAATAAAAAACACCAAAAATAAACGAAAACAATTAATACACGAACAAATAGAAAATAAAACGCGACTTGAATAATAATGATAAGTAATGATGTGTTATCTGAATTTCCGTTTGCAAATTATGTAGGCTACATACCTCCCTTTCTAAAAGATCCCTGTGTGATTCAGCATCTTGCAGTTGCTCTCGCAAAGATGTCAGCTCCAAATTATATCTTGTTTGCTGTTGTGTTAAACTTTCATTGTATTGTACCTATAAGCAAACAAATGTCTTTAAATGTGCGTATATCGATTTTAATTTTTCTCGAGTTTTAAAGCAAATCTCTTTAGCTGTTTGACATCATTTTTATGTTTGAATACTTTTATACTTAAAGATTTTAATAACGATATTTTGCATAACATACTTCCAATTTTTCCAATTCCGCTTTAAGTCTAAGGGAATCCTGTTGATCTCGTGGACTATGTTCTGATCTAACTCTCAATCGATCCGATTCGGCTTGCATCTGTCTACAGTATTCTTCAGATCTTTCCCTAAAATGTTGTATTCATTTTGTTAGATACATTGCCCAGTTCACGGATTTAAGCAAAACATCATGGAATGTAGTGCCAGAAAAAAAACAGAGAATATAATGTAGATTGATGTGGTTAATTAGTGATGATAATCAGTAAAAGACGCCTATTTCGGTCAATAGATGGGTGGAAAAAATAACACTATTTTTCCATGGGCCAACGTTTCCAAAATTTTTTCGTACAAATCGAAAATACGTAAAATCTTAAATCCGCGTAAAAATTATATATTTCTTTTTCTCCAACATGTTATATCTGAATAATGAAAACTACCTTAACTTTCTCTCTTTGGTTGCTTCCGCTTGTGCTTCTTCAACTCTAGATTCTAATTCTCGTCGCAATTTTTCGGCTCTTCGGATATCGTTGCGTAGAGAATCCACTTTCTGCATTACAGTTTCTAATTCCTCTTCCTTATCCCGAACCTAAATATAAAGCAATCACCTTTACAAAAATTATAAAACTTAGCATTATAACGAATCTTATGTTATATCAAATGTTCACTTTAATATATGCTGTCTTAACTAACACGTCTTATCAGTGGAAAACACACAAAAGATAAATGTCTATGATTTGAAAAAGATGCAATACAGTCGATAAGAATGTTGATAAACTGAGTTTTTGAACAAGTCAACAAGTTTATAAAAATACTTGCACTTGGATAAATTTGATTGCCTAAAGAGACAAATCTTAATTACCCAAGTAGGTAATTAAAACAAACCAGTAGTTTCAGAACAATTCTGAAAGCTCATTCAAAAAGTTGTAGTATTACATTTATTCAAAAAGATTTCATACTTGTCTAGACATTTTTTGCTTCTGGGCCCTTAATTCTGCTAGTTTATCAGTGACTTCGGCATATTCAGTCATAGCCAATTTCTTCTGAGCCACGGCATCTTTCAGCTCTTTATCTTGAAATTTCAACTTTTCTTGAAGATCCTGTTTGTCTTTGTTCGCATCGTCTTTCTCTTGCTTCAGGGTTTTTATTAATTTCTCTAGTTCTTTTACTTTAACTGCAATAATGCAATTACTAACACTCAATAAGCTCCCGTTTATTATAATAACTAATTGATTCAATCACTATAAAATAAAAATGCGTTTCTGTAAATACGTATTCATATTCTTACCAGTATCTCCGCCATCCAAAGAATCTGACGATTCCAAACTTCGTAATTGTGATTCTAATTCGCAATTTCTTTTGGTCAATATATTAATTTCGTCTTGCAGCTTTCTGGTACCATCGGGTGAAGTTCGTTGTTTTTCATCTTTTTCAGGTTGTCGCTAAAATAAATATAAATTGTAGGTGAAATGAGGCACAATGATGCAAACAACAGCTTCCTGTTATCATCCATAAAGAAGATAAGTTTACCTGATTTTGTTGATTCGTTGCTGGAGCTATCGACATTATATCATTTCTTTGATTTTGCTTTTCAGTCATTGTTACCGACGCTGACGATATAAAGGAATATAGATTACTTAAGTCACATATATAGCTGCAAGTAAATATATACCTTATTAGTTACCATTATCCAAATAAATACGAGGGCGTCGGGACTAAAGAACCTAATAAATGAAAACCATGCATAGAAAATTTAATTTCAAGCGAAAAAGTTAGTTAATTTTGTGCAGATGTAATGTGGTTTAAATAGTGCAAAATCTGTGATTCAATGCCGTGTTGCCATCTGGAAAATTTCATATTTTTTTCAAAATTTTTAATACGCTGTGGACTCTAAACGAAGACTTTCCGGGGTTGTGATTACAGAAATCGTTTTGCTTAAAATTACATTGTCAATGGCTGAATCCTGACACCCTGCATATAGCGAAAAACAAAGTACCGCAGCGGATAGTAAAAAGTGCATATTTCATAGAAAAATATTGTAACTTAAAACAACAATGGTCATATAAAATATCTAGTTATGTTTTAAGTGATCAATCATAAAATCAAATGCAGTCCACTTTCCAAAATTATCATATCACTTCACAATATAGTTAATACTAACTTAAGGAATCAATAGGCTTATTTAACAAAAATTAGGGTTTCGCTGTTACAAATAAAAATACCCTAAAACGCTTACCTTCCTTGCGTGAAGGTGAAGCCAATAAAAGGCAAATGTAGACCGGTGAACGCGCTGTTGGTAGTAGGTGGTAACGCATCAGATATTCGAATATCCGCATCGTCCACATCGAAATTTGAGGTGTCTGTTGGACTGGACACTTCTGGAACATATGGTGCATTGCTATCTCTGAGACCGTCCCAATCAACACCTTCAAACCATGGATGGCTCTAAAACGTAAATTAGAGAGTAAATTAGAAAAGCTAATAATCAAAGCAAGGCAAATGTTTACCTTAAAATCATCGATTCCGTTTTGTCCTAACCTGAATTCCTGACTACATATCAATCGCTTGATCAGATCTTTAGCACCATCAGAGACATCAACATCCATAGCGAAGTCGAAACAGTTTTTGTGGTTCATTATCTTGCCATACGTTTCGACTAGACTTTCCGCATAGAAGGGCGTTTCTCCAAACAGCATTTCATACATGCACACACCTTGCGTTAGAAAAATTAATTGTAGCAAAAAACTAATATGTATATAAAGATGCATACATTACTTACCTAAAGACCACCAATCACATTCAGGTCCATATCGACCTTGTCCATCTTCCATAGCCTAGAATAATGCAAATGTATGGTAGAGTGCAAATGTAAAATAGACTAAGTAGGGCTAACGCTTACTCTCAAAATTTCAGGCGATATATAATCTGGTGTTCCAACCGCTACATTTGATTGCACCATGCCATCGTCGTTAAGTTTTAAACAACTACCGAAATCTGCTAGCCTAATATGACCATTTGCGTCTAATAGGACATTGTCAGGTTTTATGTCCCTATCAAATAAAAAAGTATTGTTCGTATAAGTTTGTGTGTCAGCAAACATCGGCGGATTACCTATGTACATATTTCAGTCTATGTATAGAATCTATTGCCAGAACCATTTCAGCAATGTAAAACCTGGCCATATCCTCTGGAAGACGATCTTCAAACTTACTTAACAAAGTCAACAAATCTCCACCACAGTAATAGTCCATAACCAAATATAGGTTTGACTCATCCTAAAATAGAAAATGTGCAAATCTCATGCTTTAATCGGCTGTGAAGTTAACTCACCTGAAATGCATAATGCAAATGGGTTATCCATCGGCGATCTCCAAAAACTAAGACATCCCGTTCTTCTTTAAAACATGCAGTTTCCGCTCTTTTCAACATTTCCCATTTATTGAGGATTTTCATGGCAAACACTTTTTCTGAACCACGTAATTTAACCACACACACTTCACCAAATGCTCCTCTACCTATCACCTTAACAATTTCGAAGTCATCACGATTGAGCCGCAGCGTCTTTGCAGTATTGGCCACAGGTTTAACTAAAAAAAAAACGGATTATGTAAAATGCATTAGTATTTCAATATACATTCTTTTTATCATCACAGTATTTTATAAACAGAATAGTAATAAAAGAGAGAGAAAATTGAAAAGAAATATTCCAATTTCAAAAATAAAGATGAAAGACTTAATGTTATGCATGAAAACTTGGGACACCTGCGCGTGATGCTCGTATGTGTCTTGTTTTGAGATTTTTGTTGGTGATTTGGTCGGGTCTGGGGCTTTACTTGTTTTTCGGGAGGCAATTCGGACTTGTAGTTCGGTGAGTGTTACTGGGGAAATTTGGGGAGAGTCTGCAGATATTTCTCGGTGTTCGATTTCGGTGAAGATTTTTACTTTCTCCTCGTAGCATGCCTACTGTCTAAATTCGGAAAAAATACTAAAGTATGCAGTGGTAATTTTTACAAAGCTCCAATTTTAACACTTAAAAGCAATGCCAAAAACGCTGTATCAAAAAATCTCCAATTATCCTCAAAAATAAAAACGATGGAAAAAATTCGCGTGCGCCGCTGGATAAAACGGGTCAATGTGCATTAAAAAGGTGCTATTCGTTTTTCCTCTAAAATAAATAGCAAGGGAGCCAAAGAAGACGATTTTTTGTTTTGGATCTACATTATTATGTACAAGAGTAAATATAAAACACCTTCTACAAAGAACATTTTAAATACTTTTTGTAATTTATCAGAAGGAAACTGAAATATGTTGCATCATTTTTACATTTTCCAGTCGAAAAAAAGTGATTCTCCATAAAATGTTCGGAATGTGAAAAGGTTCCCAAGAGCCTGTTTACAATCTGGTTTAAATCTGACAACAGTTTTTAACAAAAATGCGAAAATGTTTTGAACTAGAAAAAAGTGTACGATCTTTAAAAAAACCTTAAGTATTTTTAAAACTTACATGGATGCACAAAACCCGAGCTTCCCAGTGCATAGAGCGATAAAGATTGCAACTGGTTTCCCTGTTTGAATAAAACTTTTCTCAAAGTAACTCGTGCACATGAATCGCCTTGTGGAGGGAAAATTCTTCAGATTTAGCGCATTTTTCATGTTTAATTATTTTTTGACAAAAACTAAGCTTTCAATCGATAAAGTTCATAAAATAAACGGTTCGGCAGGCGTTTTTCGGTAATTCGTTTTTTCGCAATTTTCAATCCGCCAGCTGCTTTATCAGCGATTATTTTTACATATTTATAGTAAATAGAGAAAAATGGAGTAAATATAGCCAATGGACTTAGGAGCATCTGAAAAATGCTCAAAAATTCAACATTTGAGACGCATTTTAATAGCTTAACTTCGCAGCACTGGCAACAAAAAAAATAAGATGGCCGAGATTAAAATGTTATCACAATCGTCTGCCATCTACCCCTTACCGGTGGGGTAGATGAACCAAATATTATTTAAATTGATTTTGAATTTGGCAACATCTCCGCCGGTTTAAGAGGGAAATACCCAGGCAAACTGAAAGCAGACTAGTTTTTCAAGTAGGTAACTCCAACAATTTCAGCTGATAATTTTAAACCTAGTTAGTAATGTTGATTTGAAAAAAAGTGGTCCAACTCGCCCTGCTTTACTATACATATGTACAGTGATACTGATTGAACTTTGGCCACCCCGTTTTAACATCTAATTTGAAAATTAGAAAAAAATGTTAAGTACGTTTTTTTACGAAAATTTATATCCAAGAGGACTGGAATTTTACCGCGACTTGAGTTTGAGACACCCTGTATCAATTGATATTATCTTACAATAAACTAGACGTTAATGACAAATAAACTTTTCTAATTATTTTTCTCTAAATTTCAAATTAGATGTTAAAACGGGCTGGCCAAAATTCAGTCAATATTGGTTATTAACTCAAAAACAGTTGAGAATCAATATAGAGCATTTATATATCAATATAGAGCATAATAGGCCTAGAATTTACCGAATATCTCGAATATGCAATGAAAAGTACGGCATTCCATTAAAAAAAAGATAAGTTTGGGCTGGCACTTGAATTTGAGACACCCTGTATCAATTGTTACTATCTTAAAATAAAGTAGACGTTACAACTTTTGTTTGTAACATTTTTCTCTAATTTTCAAATTCGATGTTAAAACGGGATGGCCAAAGTGCAATCAATATTGGTTATTAAGTCAAAAACAGTTGAAAATCACTATAGAACGTTTATACCGAATAGGCCAAGAATTTTGCGAATAGTGCGAATATGCCATAAAAAGCACGGCCTTCCATTTGAAAAAAAAAGGTAAATTTGGTCTGTTACCTGAATTTCAGACACCCTGTATCAATTGTTACAATTTTAAAACGGGGTGGCCAAAGTTCAATCAATAAAATTAATTATTAAATAATATAAAATGTTAACTTAAACATAATAATAACACGTCCTGTGTAATTACAATTGGACAACTATTACTATTAAATTGCAGCCTTTACTTTTGTTACTATCTTAAGAGCTAATTTTAAATAAGAGTTTTTTGAAACAATAATTTTTGGTAACACAAGTCACCGTAATCTGACTTCACAGATGCGTCCTCTTTTTATATGGGTTTGCCTACTTTATAGATTCGATAACTGTGGAAAGAAACTCACGATAATTTATAGAACGCATAACTTTAACACGCTGATAGTTATGGAACCAATAAGGAAATTTACGATAAACTGGGCATTCAAGTAACTGCGATATGTGCACCTTCAATAATTTCAATTATTTGAATTGATCCGAAAAAATACTTTGGAACGTTTTCAGAAAATATTTTGTTTCAACTCATTGTTATTTCATTGAACTTGTAATCAAAAATTAAACAATCGTTAAATTGAAACTGGTGAGTTTTTCGATCGTCGTAAAATGGAATTTATTTCTGACGTTTCGTAAGCACGAGTGGCTTGCATTTTCAGAGGTGGTTTGTTGAAGCTTCCACTGTACTGATGAGTTCTCAAGAAAACCACCTCTGAAGATGCAAGCCATGCTCCTATACTTATAAACTTAAAAATAATTATTCCCAATTACTAAAACAAACATTACTTGCCAAAATCTGATTTTGCATTGTAAAAAAACGCTTTAAGAAAAATTAATGCTGGTGCTTATTCAACAATGTTAACAAATACACTTTCCATCAACCAACATTGGATAGTGCTACCATATGCGCAAACTACTGCAGATGTAGAAAACTCGTTAAAAACATTAATAGACTAAATGGACATACCATACTCCAAAAAATCGGAAACAGTTTTCTCCTTCCTGAGGCTGGAGTTGCAGCATTCGTCATACAGAACCAGCATAATGTCAATAAGGGATTCGACGCTGAAGGATTGTCCATGGGCGGCTAGTGGCCCTCCCAAATAGAGAGCTTCTAGTTGGCGAAGTCGACGTTCCGCAGCCGCCCCTGTGGCTTCCGTTCCCTCAAGGTCCCCCATTACAGCAGACTTGCTTGCTTCTATGTCACCGGTGTTCGACAATTCGGAAAGTTAATCACTATTAAATCTGAAACAAATTTGCAATTAGTTTTGGAGTCAAGAATTTGGCTACTTAAAATGCACTTTATTATGGCAGTTTCAAGGACATTATGGGTATAAAGGAACTCTTTTCAGACCCTTTATATAATACAGAATATTGGTATGGCCTCATGGCAATTTGGCACCGAATATGAAACATTTGAACCCAATTATGATAAGAAACAGATTTTGGGATCTTAAAAATATATATATGGTTGTGACTAATTAATTAGTACTTAACAACTTTGCACTAAATAATTTGAAAATTAATACAAATATTAAACATTTGCAAGTTGTCTGGCGTCAATCGACAATTCTCCTGAAAAGGTCACATACCGGAACCAAAAATAAAAGAACAATGTTTAAAATTAGCATTGAAATGCCAGGAAGAAGTGCCCCTATAAGATAGAATAATATTATTAATTTTCAGATTGAATAATGAAAATCGGCTGGTTATTTAATGACGTTAGTATATGCTAAACAACTGTTACCATATGAATACTAATATAAATACAATGGCCGATTTTAATAATAAGGTCGATACTGTTTTAGTAGCTAATCAATTAGTACTTAAAAAACAAGTACCGTAATAAATTAAAGATTCAATCTGTTCTCTCTCTAATTATTTATTGATAATAAAGAACGTAAAATAGTCAAAGCAGCAAATAAAAATGGGTTTATTAATAACACAAATATAATTGATAAAGTAGCAATTAACAGCACACAATCAATTAAACATTAATACACAAGAATTATAAAAAAATCAATACACATGCACCTGCATACTATAACCAAGTGAAAATGTGCCTAATGCGATTAAATTAAATAGTCTATAAATTGACAAAACCTTTATTAGTATGCACTATAACAACAATACAACAGTACTGCTACCATTGAACTTAGAATATCTTGGCAGTGAAACAAATATTAAAAGTAGGTATGTTTGAAGCGAATCTACATTGAAAAAGGTCAATGGCATTTTTAGCGTCTTAAAGACTCAGCTATATAATATTGGAATTTACCAAATAATTATAGAATATGACGGAAAAAGAAAACTCGTACTGAGTTGTTGTTATCCTGTTCAATATTTTATTTATTTTCATGTTATTGCATATGAATTTGCTAGCAAAAAATATTAAAACAATCATTTAAACTGCTTTTACACAAAAAAACATTAAATCTACGTGCTACAAGCTATATAACAATGAAGTGAACTGACTGGAAGTAAATCAGAAAATATCCTAACTGTTTTCCAAACACGCATTTCTATTTGTTGTTATTGTGGAATATTTAATGTCATTGTGAAACAAAATGCGAGATTATTTTCTAAACTGGGTGCTATCATACACGAGCGAAGAACTAGACTCAGTAAAAAGCATCTGCAAAAAATTTTATTCTTAAATGTTAATTCATTTTTAAATAAATGAAAATGATATTTTTAAACATTTTCGCATATAAACCGTATATTTTATTTAATTCTCTAGTTTATTATCAGTTTTGTTCTTCTTTAAGTAGATACTTCTCACCCATGTTTTGTTTCTGATTTTAGAAAATTTTATTTTAAGTTTACCAATGTTAAGAATTACCTATGTTTCTAATAAAGAAAATCATTATATATCATGACTATTTCTACTATCCTCATCATTCTGCATTTTTTATGAAAAATTTAAAAAGTAACATATTCGTTCTAACACTTGCTAGGTATCCAAGGAAATAATTTTCATTAACTTAAAACGTTTTGTGCAGTTTGGCAATACCGCTTGACATTTAGCCTGAAAATGGTGATTTTCCTCAAACTTTGTGAGTGTTCTTTGTATTAACTGATGGACCATCTAGGAGTTTTTTTTGCTGAAAGCGCTCGCATTGAAGTGTCCTTTAAGGTAAAAAGAGAAAAAAAATAATAATTCGGAGGGACTCAAACGACACGATCACCATACTTTAGCTATTAATTATTATTATTATTCAAGATGTTATGTTAGTAAATTAAGTAGTCATTCTTATTATTTTTATATTTGGTAACATCAATTAGGGAGGATGTTTTTAAGTATCAACATTTTGAATAACAGGTTTCATAAACGAAAAGAAAAATTCTCAGTAAAACTTAATTCGCAGTAAACTGTACTTAACTGCTAAAAAGACTCGACCTTACCATCTCGCAAAAAAAAACGTTATCTTAAACGCCATTCCATAAATAACTAATAAATCGATCAACAAAGATTCATTATCGACTAATAAATGCATGCATTGTTTTAAAAAGCGTCAATTCTTCCCCGGTTTTTCCTACTAAAAAAAGTTCGCTAATAGAAGAGCTTAGATCACATTTCTAAACTCAGGAACATTTTCCCGAAAAGTGTTAATGTTGTTTGTGGACAAAATATTGGATTTCTTGCTTTTAAAACCATCAGACTCACTTTTTCAGTAGGGTAAGTATTTTGCAAAAACTTTATTTATTTCTCTAGTCTCTACGGAAATTACTCATTTTCTCAATATTCCTGTAAAATGCAATGCATACAGTCTTTATTAAATCTCATCCCTATTTCGGAAGCAACTACAAGGAAAATTCAAATTAAATTTTCCGTTTTTTTACTTGAAAACGTAAAGTTAAAAATAATCGACAGCATGTAAGCAAATGAGTGAGCTACAATTGGAGTTATTATTTCGAAGGAGTAGTACAAATTATCATAATAAAAACTGAGATATATGCAAAAAAATAAATTATGAATTTAGAATTGAGGTTTCCCTCATTAATATTAAGTAAATACCTGTTGCTTTTACTTGCAATCAGTCAATCTATAAAACTATGAAAATACAGGGTGACTCAAAATTGGCGTCATTCTTCTAGAGTTGTTATCTGGGGGTACAGTAAACAGTACCTGTTGCTTCGTAATTATTAAAAACTCCGGTAACCATAGAAAATACAGTAAGTGGCAATAAAATAGATACTTTTTCGAAATGTCAAAATTGTCAAAATGTCGGAAAATTGTTATTTGTTGTCATAACCATTGTTATTTGTTGTCACTTTAATGCTCTCAATAATCGTATCAATTTTCATTTGGTTGTTTGGCTATTAGTATAGCTAAACAATATAAATGAAGCATGACAAAATTGCTCATAGAAAAATTGTATAATTAGAAAAAAAGTTTTTATTAAAATTCGATAAAAAGTACGGCAATCCAGGCAGATAGAAGTGAGTTGTAATGTAAAACAATGTCGAACATGCATAAGTAGAGTTTAACTTCCATGTGGAGACGCTAAATAGATGAAAACTTCTACATGTATGATTCGCAGAATCACTGTGCTGTTTATTTTAAGCAAATTGATGCTCGTGAGAAAGTGAAAGTGATCGCAACTGAAATGCTGTTTGCTGTGCTGAATTTATACTGAAGGCAGTGCGCATAAGCAACCACTAACACCATTTTGAGTTTGACGGAAGCAAACACTAACATAGTATTTTTTCTGACATGGCCATTTAGAAGTTTCGCGCAGGTTTTGCTTAATCTCTTTACTATTCAAGACAATATATATCAAGTTATAGCTGAAGAGCCTTTTTCTTCATATTTTACCGTTCTGTCTAATACCACCTACATAATGTTAAAATATGGTACATATCGGTCTTGCTGCCCTAAATTACATACAGGGTGATTCAAAATTGGCGTCATTCCTTTTAAGGGGTGATAGAGGCTCACTTGGGAAGTACGAGAAACATATTGAAAATTTTTAGAAGATATTAACGGTTGAAGACCGAATTTCAACGTTGTTATTAAGCATTATTTAGAAATTGTTCCATGTTTAATTGGTAGCATATTGCAATATTTCAGCATTCAAAAAGAAAAATTACGACCTTTGCACGATTACGAAAATTTTTGATATCAAAAAAGTTCTCCTCCACAATTTTTTGATGAAAAGTCACAGCGGCAATGATGTTGTTTGCCATTAACAGATAGTTACAGGTGGATAGCCCTTGTCAATAATAACAATAATTTGTCAAACTGTGACTTACTTTGAATTTCCTTTCGCGAATTTGCTGATATGCGATTAGATTAACAAGTATTGGACATAATAGAATCAGGGCCTTCCAGGGGCACTCAGAGCACATTAACTGACACTTTCCCAAGCACCAAATAAATACCGAGGAAGGGCTACATTCCTACCACGTTTGTACGATACCCACAGTACAAGGAGCACACACATGTACAAATGGAGCAGGAGTTAATTAACTGAATACGAGAAGCTGCTTGATAAGAGTGGATAATAAGGAGATTACATAGGCACCAGCTTGTTTGGAGTTAACCATTCAAATGTTTGGTGTTGTTTGGATTTGTGGTATTTGTAAATACCAAACACCGCAGATTTCGAGGTTTTGAGAACAGGTTGATATTTCGAAAGTACGTTCCGCAGTCAACAAATCTTGTTGAATTTATCGTTTATCCTTGTCTATCTTATTGTCACTATGTATAATTCCATGGTTACCGGAGTTTTAAATAATTACGAAGCAACAGGTATTTGCGCAATGTTAATTAGGCAGATTACCTTGAAAAACATTGCTGCCGTATTCCTGATACAGTTTTTTGGAAATTTCTCAGTATTTAATAACAATTTAGCAGTCATTGAGAACCAAGGAGAATACCAAATATTAAAGTATTAAAGTACTAAATATTAAAGTTGAGATTGGAGTCATCTAGCTTGCACACTTTTGCCGAAACTTTATTTTCTTGTAATCAAAGAAAACTGATGTTGTGAAGTGAAGTTCAGAAGTGCTATTATAAAACTCATGCAATGAGTGTACGTAAACTGAAACTGTACTGAAATACAGATATTTTAATCCCCGCTTATAAAACGTAATTGATCAAACTAATATTTGATAAAGTATTGAAATATATTGAATTCAATTTATTTCAACGAATGATTGTTGCGAATTAATACAATCTTTTTTACTAGTGATTTAGTTTTACCTGTTGATTTACACATAAGGAAACAGCCATTTACGTGACGTAATTTTTTTAAAAAGAACAGTGTCCAAAAGAAAGTTAATAATTTCGCTTTTTTGTGAATATTTCATATTAGATTGAATTTTATAAGTGTATTTTTTCTCAGGTTTAAACCCGCTGTTGAAATCCTCACCGTCAATGCAAGTATGCTCTTATACACATCGTAGTCGGCTTTATAGCCAGTATTAGTTTTATTAGCACATTGACTATTTCTTGGTGTTCCATAACTTGAGCGCTATTTTTAAGATGCTATAACTTCGAGCAGAAGACTCATTTACAATAAGAAACAGTACGAATTGAATCACTTTCAAGAAATCGATGGATAAACGGAACATAGTCGTATGCGTGTTCATGAGCTTAAACGGTTCAATAAAACTCGTAAAATAAAACGTTATCTTTAACGCTATTCATAAATAACTATTAAATACCGACACATTGTTTCACGATCAATTAGCAAATACGTTGTAAAAGTTCCTGCCCATTTTTGCAATCCTATAAACCTATGGACCGAAATATTTCACAGACATTCGTACAGACGCTGAAATTATCAGAAATATTATTATTAACATTTTCTTTGCTTGTTTGTAAATTTGGTATACTTCCTGCAAACTTAGCTCAGTATGAATGATCCAACTTTCACATTCACCGCTTATTATCTAAGATGTGACGAAAACAGCAATAAATTTGCATAAACACACAAAAAGGGTGTGACGTCTAAAAAATAAGCCATTTTAACATTTAAGCGAGAGAAGAAGCGAAACGAGAAAAAAAATTGGAAGTTTAGATAGCTAAACTTTATAACACCTACAAGAAGTGCTGAACAAGATACAAAGGAACGAAAAACTCCTAATACTTGGACATTTTAATGCGAGAGTGGGAAATAATAACAGACAATATCAAACAACGATTCAATAAAGAAATAATAAACCGAAACGGGGAACATCTAATTGAATTCTGCGCTCAAAACATTTTTTAAACAGCTTTACAAAGAACGCCTGGAAGAAAGATTCAAGATGAATCCATTAAAAAAGAGGAAAATATAAACTCTGAAAGAATCGAACATCTTACAGGCTACAAAATAAGGTATATGAGTTATGAAAATTAACTCTAATGCAACAAAAGTATCAAAGCCGTGGTTTACTAACGAAATAAGAAATTTAGCGAACGAAAAAAGAAAAGCATATCTACAATATTGCAGTAATAAGACACCTAACAATAATGAGAAATGCAAAGATACAAGAAACCATGTAAACTCTAAAATAAGAAACCTGGAAAGAGAATATTGTACACGATTTATCAAAGAGATGGAACACGACCTTAATGGGGCGCAACGCAAAGTGTGGAAAATGGAAAATATTGCCGTATTTTTTCAGAGAATTTTAGATACCAAATCAATGGAAAACAGGCATTACAATACCAATATATCAGAAAGAAAATAAGAACCCTAGCAACTATTTATTTCCAAACCGTTTGGATTAAAAGTTAAAGATTTTGTTTTTGTAAGCGTGCTTCATTGCTTCTGTGTCCTATTTGGGTAAGTTGATGCACGAGCCAAATTTATACAGTATTAACTGCTTAAGTATATTTATCAACAAAATTTAAAGTAAAAGTGTAATTTCAAATATGTAGCCCATTTCATTCAGCACCTTATATTGAATCGTAAAATGAGTCTATGCTCCTTAAAGATGACAAGCTGATACTTCTCCTGTAGGATCCATAACGAATAGTAAAAAATATGTAATGAATAATAAAACACCATCTCCACCAACTCTACAAGGATATTGGGGACTTCTAAAGAGCATCCCTTACAGATGCCTTGGAACCCCAAATTATTCCATGGCATCATCCACATCCTCAGTCATCAATCATGTCATTTAATGTAAAATTATTGAATGCCTCAACTTTCATTTTAAAACTAAATTAAGCACAACTCGTTAAAAAATCGATACACCCGTTACTCACAAAGAAAACATAAACAAATACGATTTGAGGTTGGAAAACCCGGCGAGATGAGTTTTCTACTGGGTCCTATCAGTCGATCATCAGGCTCCCTGAGGAACAACTCTCTATCTCTCAACTTTTTTCCAAGAATACCGTTTCGGCCGACTGCCATAAAGCCCCGCCCACTTCTCTCGGCTGTCCTACTCCCTGGTCGTCAAGAATTCGCGAGTTTAACTACCGATGGTGGCGCTGCCAAGTAAGTCTAACAAGTCTGACAGGTGAGACTTGTCAGACTTGTTTACTTCTTGGAGTTCATGACATTTATAACATAAAACAATACTTACACACTTTTGGATCTGTTTCTATTCTTTAAAAGCTTGCAAACGTTCAAAAATCAGATGTAAACACCAATGTGATATCAATGTCAACAAAACAAGTGTCAAATACGACTGCAGCAGTAGAGAAAAGAGATGGAAAAGAACAGGCTCAACGCCTAAGATAAGAAGAAGAAAAAGAAGAACATCAATAACAGCTCATTTCTACGAAATTGGGCCATTTACTTAAAGCTTAGAGTTTCTGAGATATTTGGAGTTTTGTAAACATTTTTTTTCTCTTTTAAATTCTCTTGAAAATCTCAACGCCAATTCAAATTCTACCTTACGGCTACCAATCGATGCAGTTGTGTGACAAATTAAAAAAATAGATTGACATCAGTGCCCCAAAATTGTGTCCAAACAATTGCACGTTTTGAACGGTAATAACTTGCTTAATTTAAATGGAACACCCTGTACTTTAAAACGGGAACAGATGACATATTTAATTATCTATTGAATAGTATAAAGGATTCCTACACCTTTAGTCGCATATTTTCAAAATTTTCGCGAATTGATAGAGAATTTTTACAAGTCACATTTTGCACACCCACCGACCAGACCCAGAGCGACCACACATGCCAAAACTTCTTAAATTCAATCAATCTAAAATAATCAATAATCATTTCATATTCGTGGAAAAATTGAAGTAAGCGCGGGATGTCCGATTATTTTTGGGATTATCTGTAGTTGATGCTCGTGCAACAAGATCAGCGATCAACATTCAATTACTGCATATTTAAAATTTTAGTACAAACTGATATTCATTGAAAATCGAGGTGCCACCTTACCTTATAGCTCGTTTTTATAAGCTCCTATAAGATCTTTCATTATGTACATTGTTAGCTTGTTAAAGCGTGGAAATAAACTAATTGCGGTTTTTTTGGAATAGAAAATTTTGATCATTTGCAGAAAGAATGCGAAATAAAATCGATGAAGCAAGAAAGAACAAATAAAAAATCGAAATTCAAAGCGCTGCAGCTCAGTTATTTTTTCGAGACTTTTTTTTGTTGAATCACCCTTTTTTTTGCTTTTATTTTTCTTCTTTTAGCTTTTTTAGCAAATAATTTCCGAACATTATGTGTATGTACAGGGTGTAGTAACCTTAGAGCAATAAGTAATTTTACGCTTTGCCGGTATCATTGGTTTTGAAATTGTAATAGTCATATCGTTGTAATCATACATATAGTACCTTCGGTAATAAGCGCATAGCCCCATAAAAAAACAAAAATTTATAAATCTAGTACAGGGTAAAATAAAAACATACTGAATGTTTCAGTTTGCTTACCAGGTAGATTCACATTTGCACTCACACACAGAATAAAAACAAATTAGCGAACATCAATTCGTCAAAAACTAGTCCACTAAAGCAAGAAAAGTTTTAAAAACTTGTTTGCTATTTCTACTTTGCAGTATTTCTCAACTATTCTTAATATTAATTGGACTTATAGGAACAGTGCACACTTTGCCTGTGTGCCTATTTCTAGTATTTGTATGAAACAGTCTATATGAAGACATCAGACTAATAAAAGTACAGATGTCGAACCCTATAGGAAGTATGGCTATACATTAGTCATGCAAGTCAATAAAATGTGTGAATCCTAACTGGCATAAGCGGGTTTATGAAAAGGAAAAGAGCGTAGAGATGCTAAGAAAGTAATTTCACTTAACGATCAAACCTGTAATTAGCAAGGAATTCTAAGCGTGCAATAATAACTCAATAAAGTCTAGAAAAATGCCATTGCAATAGTGCAGACCATCCAAGAAAGACATTTTACCTTATTTATAAACCAGCCGAGTTTATCGCCGGGTAAAATTAAACAAACAACAAAGCACAAGCATGTATTCAACAGCATAGGAGTATACCGCAAATTTTCTCAGGAAATCGAAGGAAAAATATTGCGAATTCGGGAAATGACGAAGTTTAGTTTAACCTAAATATAAACTGAGATGTCCCAAAATAGACAAACCTGTATTCCATGAAAGCAGCAATCGGTGGAACAAGCACTGAACACAATAAATCTTTAACAGACCTGTCGAAAGTGATTAAACGTTCATTATTTTCACGCTTTCCGTTTAAAATACATTTCCGTGAAAACTTTCGGCAGCCATTTTTGTCGTACTCCCCCACCGAGGTGTGTTTGGTTTTATCCTGTCAAATTTTCACATAGGAAAATCGCATTTTTTACCGCAATCACTACCGAATAGGACTCCGAATTTCCATTACGAATTTATGAACTAATCTCTTGATATTTTTCTAATATACAAACATTTTTGAAATCAACAGACGCCACATCTGCCATCTTTGGTCCGCTAGAAATAGTGTAATAACAGAAACCGTTGGAAGCTCGCCAGACATGTTTTCGCGAGTTCACCTACCGATGGTGGCGCTGCCGTCAAATTACTCGTTGTCGGGTGACAGTTGAGACTTGTCAAACTTGTCTATTTATTGGAGTTGATGATTTATAACATAAAACAATACTTACACACTTTTCGATCTGTTTCTATTTCTTTAAATGCTTGCAAAAGTTGATTAGAACAAAACAAATCACAATCAAATGGAAACACCAATATGACACCAAGGTCAACAAAACATGTGTCAAATTACTACTTAACTTGTGGTTACAATTTTCGCCACCAGGGGGCGCCTGAACTCGCAAATGCAATAGATAAGAGCCGTTTCACACGGGCCACTCTGCAGCGCTTCTCAGTGGCGCTGCTGAGAAGCGCGTTTTGTCTAAAACTTAAGTTAACTCAAAATTTTGAGGTCGGACGTGTTAGAACGTGAACGTGCATTAAGTAATCTCTGGATAATTGGAAAATCTCTTCTTTTTAACTGCATTTCGTGACAAGTTGGAGGGATCTTGTGAGCTAACTGCGTGATCTTGTTTTCAACTAGTCGAAACGAGCACTTTTCGCTCGAAAAGCTTACTTTACTTTGTTTTAGCTTACTAAAAAATTATTAAAAATCATTTAGTAAAGCTTTCACGTAAGTGAAGTACAGGAAGAAATTGGAGAAAAATATTGTCGTAAAATTACGGGTGAACTGTTTAGAGAAACAGTGCGAGCAGCGAGAATTTTTGCTTGAAAATGCATGCCAAGGCTTAAAGCYGCAACAACGCTACACATAAAAACTGATRATGGTGGAAAAATACACCGAAACGTATTTTGATMGATAAATAGAGACAATAAATGACTGAAACCCAGGAATGAATTTGATTTGGAATTGAAACACAGTCAGGAAAGTATATACAATRTTTATAAAGTGAAAATTTAGGTAATTATGTAGCTTGTAGCTATGTATAAATATTGTTAGTGTAAAGGAAAATTTCGTCAGTGTAATWAAATTTCAATTTTTTTGTCACGCTTGTTCAATTGTATTAACAATCAATTATTGTAACATTTTAGTTAAATCAGAATAGATCTATCAAGGACACGATTATCGTAAGCACGTTGCAGGTGCAACTAATGGATGTTTTAATGCTTTATAAATTATAGTTTTTGTACAACATATTTTAATTGTAAATTGGTGTTTATAGTTTGTTTTGAATTTTAAATCTGATGATGGCGCTGTTGTCTCGCCGAAACGTAATATGAAATAAACGATATGAACATTTTTATTTCCAATTTTCACTGAAAACCAGGAAAAAAAAATATAATAACAATTACACGCAGTCAGGAACATAAATAACATTTTTGGTACAACGTGAGCGCGTCGCATGAGTTTCAGTTACGCAAATCCCTGATATTTTACTAACTTAAGTGAGTTTCACCACATTATTTCGTCTAGCTGTGGACAAGGTGATGATTGCCAACGTCCGATGCGGACAAAGTACCTGATGCTGAAAGATCGTCAGTTACCAATAAAACCAAAATATTTCTACAAATTGCTTTATTGAACGGCAGACTCTTAAACGTAAGTGCCATGATGCGCACTTTGAACAGCCTCGATTATATAAACTAGATACAAAATATGGAATATAAATAATGAAGTTATGTAATTGGTAAATAGTAAATACGATTTTGCTTCCTTCCTATAATGTACTTTGATGTCTACCTATTTAATATGTACAAATATAGTGATGAACAGTTTGTTGGCGTTGAGTCTATACCAGTAAAACTAAAACGTTATGTTTATGCACATCAGGATCAGTTTTTCTCAAATGGTGGGTTCACGTCCACTCAACGCGTCGAAGAAAAATGAAGTTGAATTCATATATACATAAATTATTCACGATAAAACAGGAATTATATTTGAAACTCCATCGATGATCAGTTAACTCAAGTTCTCTATCAAAATAAAACTTTGCTGAACAGATATGCTGCAACTTCATTTTAATCATCGATACCTTTACAGAAAAACTCTACACACGCCACTAAAATCTCGCAAATGATTTAGGCAATCAAGTTAGAAACTACTGTAATATTATGTTTAAAATTATTAAATAATTTCTGAACACCTACTTTTAGTCGGTATCATTAGAAGCATTCTGGATAAATCACATACATTCAGATTGACAAGTTTATAAAACCAGACAAGCTAGCTATTTATGCGAATGAAGAAATAAAAAATTGTGAAACAGATTTCCTGAATGTACGAAAATAATAAAACGGAAATACATTTTAGTCATATTTCAGAATCCGCGCATTTATCTAATTTGGGATGCAAGCGTTTAAATGTGTTTCATAAATTTTTGTGGAAACGATCAAATAATGAAATTCGAAGTGGTTGCTTTGAAAATGTGGCTGAAAAAGATGAGTAAATAAAAATGCTTCAGGGGCCTAGTTGATTTAACTGAACAATGTCTTCTTAGATGTAAGTACATATCTGAATAATATAAAAACAACTGAGGATAACTAGATGAAACTGAATGCGGAAAGGAGAACGAACAAAATATGTGCGACTTTATCAAAGTAAACTATAATCCGGTTTAAGGTTTATACGAAGCGATGATAATATCAGTATGTGAAGTACTAAAATTAGTTAGAAAGGTAAACATAGAAAATCAATCAGGATACTACATAAAAATAAAACAGTATGGGATAGATTCTAAAGGCGAATTGTAACTCGAAAACGTATTAGTCAAACTATTCATGTATAGGATTTATCAAACTTAGCGGCCACAAAAAGTTATTATCCAAATAATGATTGATTCTGAGAACATGTAGAACATAATTTTGGTCAGTTATAAAATTAACAAAGGAAATTTGAAATTTGCTGTTCTTACATGACATTTTTAGAAGTATCCTTAGTAGTAAAGTGTTATGTGTAATCTTTAACTGTGTTTCCTTTTCGCCTATTTTCATTAATATTTAACCGCATGTTGCGAAATTTCACACACAAAAATATAATAAATACAAACTTATAAAAGTGGTAACATTAACATTGTACTACAGAAAGTTTGAACTGTATGATAATTTAAGAAAAACTATACTAAAATAATTTATTTGTCGGTTGTTGGGCACTCTATCTATGATTTGCTTAAAATAAACAGAATTGTTTCATATCAATGTAGAAATGAATGTGCCAATTATGTATTATAATTGTTAGCTACCCACTTTTTAAATAACATGCCTCACGAAGGCTTTCAGATAACTACAGTAAGGGTTAATAACTTAAGCTTAATAAAACATCGTGTAGATTCGGTAAAACCAACCGGACAAACTATCGCTGTGGGCTCCTTTAATGTGGGCAAGTTTGTAAATAAGACTTTTAAAAGGCAATTTGGACATCATTTTGTAGATCTTCGAAATTCGAACCATTTTACACGTGGGTTTTAAACGAGATATAGACTTTGATGAGATCTCTAAAAGGAACAGAGTTTCAGGAATACGCGGCAAGATAATATAGAAATATTATAAGTCCAAGTTGATTGAGCATGAAACAGCTAAATAATAATTGTTTTAGTGGGCAAGTCTTTTAGAGTATGGATATGCATTGAATCTTTTTGTAAACATTGTACAAAATGTTTAGTTAGAAATGGTTCGTTATACAGGGTGAGTTTTTTTTAAGCGTTACAAGGCTCTATCTCAGAAACAGTTTACAATATATTTATAAACATTTTGGAAAGTAAAACTTAGGTAGGGGAACATGTTTTATTATGTGGAAACCAGGAACAACAGGCATCTACCTTACCGATTGCGCTCGCTAAGGTGTTTATCGCTCTTTTTCTCAAGTTATTGTAATTAAACATGGAAGAGTGCAGAAAGAATTACAGAGAAGCTGCGCTACTGTGGGCGCAGAGATTTCCAACCTAAACCAACCCCAACTACTGAAATTCTCGAAGAATCTGTCAAATGGTCGACTGATTCCTGTGAACATCAACCACGTAAAAATCCAAAAAATACAATCTAACAGAAACAATCCTCTATCTACACAAAAAAATACAATCTACACAAAAAAAACATTCCATTAAAAGGAAGTATCCTAATGGAACTGTACGAAAATTCACGATGTTGAAAGGAATTTTTAGAACATTTTTTTTAAAGATAAGCAGAAATAACTTGCACTATTGGGCGGCGGAAAATCGTTACTGGATCAGAACTGTGCCAAACCAACATCCCTGGGCGCTTAATGTTTGATATGGTATAATTGGGGATAGAATTATTGGTACCTATTTTTATGAAATAAATTTAAATGGAAATATCTGCACCAACTTTTTAAGAAACAGTTTACCCCAGTTAAGTGGAAGATGGAAAGATGGATTGGTGTCGGTGGTGCGGTCAACTGGCTTGCGCGATCTCCAGATCTGACACCGCGTGATTTTTTTGTGAGGTTTGATAAAAGATAGAAGAGATGGCCATTGCACCCCACCACCTCACATGATATGACGGAGATAATTCGCTTTGCCTGCTTGTTGGTGACACCTGAAATGATAGCGCGAGTGGAAAATTCTTGAAAAAAAGAGTGGTAAAGAGTAAAGTTGAAGGCAGGCATTTTGAACATATGCTGAAACATAGTTGATTATTATTAGTCGGGTCATAATTTAATAAATTGATTTTTTTAAATTTATGTTGCACGTCATAATTCTGGAACTAAGTGATCAAATGACATAAACATTTGTACACATACATAGTTTCTTTTGTTGGTTTAAATTTAACGATAAAAAATATACCGTCTCATTTAAATGTTTTATGTTGCCTTCACCTCTCATAGAGGGCGCTTGAGTAGAATAATAAAATGAATACGTCTCCCTACCAGTTTCTTACTTTCCCAAAGTTTTATAAGTAAATTTGAAACCGTTTCTGAGATATAGCCTTGTAACACTTAAAAAAACTCACCCTATAGATGCAGGCTCAAAAACAGAAGTGCATTTCGAAAACGAGACTTTGTGAAAAACTGGAAACACAACAGTTTCAGAAGTCAACAAAATGAAAAAATACAATAAAACCACTCCAGCTTTCTTACGGCATTGCCATCGATACGGCATGCTAAACGCTGAAATTTCTGCAGCTTTAATGACGCCCTATTTTGAACGTAAATATTAAATTGACTTACATCAGAATATGGCAGAATTACTATTTACAAATACTATCAGAACACAATACACTAGAACGAACTTGATCAAAAGAACCCACGTAACATTCACATATAAATACTTTACCATGTAAAGGAGATTGCTTTGTAAAAATAGGTACCTGTTTTGGTTTTGAGTATTTGCCAATGAGATGTGCATGATACGATACCATAAGGTACACATGATGTAGTACAGGACTAGGCTAGCAAAAGGCAAAATGCCGTCTACAATCATTAGAAACTACCTAGGAGAAAATATACTGATGGAGTTTGTATTCGTCCTCTTTCGTACAAGTCGTGCTGAAACTGGAAAAAAAATCAGTTAATATCATGTAATTAACAATAAGGATGGGAATAATAGACAAAACTAACTATTTTGACTGATTCTATAGTTTCAATTAAAGTTAAAGTTTGTCTTCTAAATGAAATAAAATTTTACATATTTTGTGCGCTCTTGGCGTCACTCTCTGCGAGTATTTACAGACGATCGATCGAGACGTCGGGGAAACCCACGAATTTCGAGAGAACGGGGAATTACCGACTGAAGGTTTTCCCCTTTGCGAAAATTGGGCAATTTGGGTAAGGGATCGGAATTTTTTCGATTGATTGACTAGTGGAGAATACCCTTTCCGCGAGTATAAAGGAGCGTGGACAGCGGGAGCAAAGGGAGTTGAATACAGAACCTTTTCGCGACACCATCTGTGACGGGAAAAGCACCTGAGAAAATCAGACTGATTCCAGACTTTTGCGTTCTGGATTAAAAATTTTAACTTTTCGTCGTTCGTGTGCCGGGATTGGGCCACGGGTGGCAATCCAAAAATAACTACCGTCGAAGTGCCTGATTTTGTTATCAACGCGTAAGCCGTAGTTACTTTAACCGACCCCGGTACTTTGAGTTCATTTGGGCTGTTACTGTGGACAATTTTGTGGTAATTTTTTATTTCCAATTTTCCTATCTTGTTGCCACTTAATAGTAGGGGAGGACCATTCCTGGCTGATTGCGCTTGCGCGTCTCATTGCCGCGTTGCCGGTTTGATACTTCCATTGCGAGCGAAATTATAACCTCAGAAAAACACGGTTTCTAGCACTTTTTTAGTTCAGTGTTCCCGCAGTAAAGATTTGGATTATTGGAGTTTTAATAGTCATGGAGCGAATGTGTTTTTGTTTGTTTTATGCTTTCTAAAATAATGAACAGATATATTTAAATGTTGTCTTTGACCTTCACTTTAATTATACATATACATGCCTGTGAAAAAAATCTTTTAGAAATAATAATTAATAATAAGAAAGAGTTAATTAGCCTGAGCGTGCTCTATTTTGTGATGTAAAATGAAGTATTTCGACCAATTTTCAAATTTCTGCTAATTACAGTTTGCCAGATATCGATGGCGGCGGTTCCCGGTGGGACACCCTGTATATGGGGGGGTCCGTAAGCAAATGATCAAAATGATACTGCGATATTCTTTGCATCAAAAGAAGACGATCTGACCTAACTTTTATTTACAAAAAATGTCTGGCTCCTCTGATATTGATGGTCAAAGTTTTCCAAAAAAATTATCTTTCTTGAAAATATCGGCAGAAAGGTACGATGTATTTTGGTGAAACTCGTTGTGAATTTGTTCTTATGTAAGACTCATATTTTGATGAAACAATCGAGTTCAGCCGTTTTGGACAAGTGGTGAATTCTTGAGTGTCGTGGTACAA